AGTCCACAGCTTTAAGTTTCATTGCAAATATATGTTGCGATGACTTTGATGCTATACATTTCATCTGGTTCTCGATTAGGGAAAAAGTTGGTCGTCCTTAACTCTAGAATTATTGTGGGGTCGCAAATGGCGAGCAAGAGCTAGAAAAACTAAGTCAATTTTGGTGGGTCTCGTGCATTCAAGCAAGTTGCCTCGATCACTTTCCAAATGTTGTTCAATTTGCAAGCAGCAGAGCAAAGAGAATTACTGATTATAGCCATTCAAGCAAAAAAGAAAAAAAAGCACGCATACCATATGATTTGTCTAATTGAATGAGCTTGGTTCAAAACCCAGAGTTCAGCATCCTCATGTCATCGGGAAAGGAAGGAATAAATTAATTTGTTCCTTATTTAGCATATAGTTAGGTGAAAATGATTTTAGGGTTTAGCCATGGAAAATGCCCCCATATACTTAACTCTTACTAAAATACAAAAAAGTTGAGGATCCCCACTTTGTCCTCTAAGAATAAATTTGAGAAAATTAGTTGGGTAGATAAATACTATATACTTATATGTTACCAGCTGAATGCATGCTCACTTGTCCACTGACACAAAATGAACTTACTTCATCTAATTAAAGGCAAAGAAAAGAGATAGAGAACTAATTACTTCTGTACCTAATTTATGAAATTATTTGGCAAGAGATACTTTCAATAACCCTTACTAAGGAATTAAATCTGTGAGATATATGGTACTAAGGTGGGGTGCTTCTTAACTCTACCGTACACCACCCCAAAAGAAAAGGGGAATTCAGTGTCATTTTGGGCCAATAAGAAGTTTGCTTACCCAGGAGAAATGACAGATTGAAACTTATGGCAGTTGACATATAATTAGATACAATGAAAATGTTAAAGATGGTTACAACTACACAACTAGAACCACTGTATTATTGTTAATAGATTGAATGTGTCAGATATAAGAAATTATTATTTACGCATTTAACATACAAAAGTTTGTGTAGTTTCAAATTTCAATGTAAAACTTTCTGTTCGCGGTGGTAAGTAAAATTCAAGTGCAATTTTTTTTTTATATTGATCAAGAAAATCTGAATAAAGATGGTATATTTAAAAACTGTGCTAAAACCAGGAAGAAAATGGAATTAAAAGAGGATGGTGTGGAGGTAGTTTGCAAGCAAAAAGACATACAAAATTTTTCCTGTATGACGATGCTAATAGATTAAGATATTTGTTTATCCTTTTCCCTAACATCAAAGGGGGTTTACTTTCCAAGGCTAATCGGATAGAATTTGGACTGTTTTGTCACCACATGAGAGAGAGAGTATTCCCTTCACAGTCTTTAGGAAAGAAGAGGAATAACTTAAGAGGATTAGGTTTGGCTAAATGACATCCAAAAAGTAGCTCGTTATGTGTGACATGTGCATTATTTTTGTTCCTAAGCAGACATGACAGATATTCTGAGGATTAAATTAAAAGGTTTAACAGAGAAAACCAACTTGGAATTAGAGAAGAAAAATGGGTATCCCGAACTTTAATAAAATGGAGGACTCCCACCCCCTACGTAGCTAGAAAACACTTGTTTCTTGTCTTCTCGTGTGCATGGGGGCGTTGACATTTCTGATTTGTTTAAAAGTCTTGCGAATCTTTCAAAGAATTACCTCTTTTTCTTTTGTATCATTTCATGGATGAAGACATCCAACCTAGCATCACTGCCCCATCATGGTGTTGAAAGACAATTTGTTCTTGGGAACATTTTTTTATACTGATTATGAAGAAGAATCATGCTGATAAATCCATAAATCAACTTTAATATCAATAATCTATTGTTATTTTCTGTTTGCTGCTTATGATTGTTAGTCTTTCTTCTTTTCCTGTTTGGACCTTTCATAGTGTTCCACAATTAGGATTCCGTTGGTATCCTATTAAAACTGGGTGAACCGGCTCACCAAATTGCTGCATCCTCGGGCGCCTGCTTCCCCACTATGACTGATATTCTATACAGGACGGTCTCATCTCGATAGACATGAAAGACACAAGCATGTCAAAGAATCAAAATCTGAAACATAACCACATAAAATTAATTGACAGGTTACAAGACAGATAGTTACCAGTATATTTACAAATGCTGCACAGAAATTTTTGTTAAAGAAGGGTCATTAAAGAGCTTAAATAGTAACCTTGAGAAGGCAAGGGTTTCTTACCGGCCTAGATGGTCCTAAAAGGTTCATTTATGTCAGAACCATTTTGCGTCATTCGAATCATCAAAAGCATGAAAAGAGGAGATAAAAAGAGGTCAATAAAGTGCATTTTGAGCAGTTGTGTTGTGTTCTTTTGAAGAGTTAGGAACAATCATTAGCGCCCATCGTCATGGCAAAGATTAATATCTGTCATATTCATATGAGTAGTTGGAACAAATTAGGACTTGATTAGTTCAAACTAGTCATGAGAGAGTAAACCATCCACAAGATTTTTATATCTAAATGCAATGATCATCTGTCTACTATTATAAAGTGCTGTGGGCTACGTACTGTTAGACTCCAAGGCAGAAATGTTCATTCTTTTGAGATTAATTAGACAATTATCTCTAATCTTTGCTGTATACATTTAATTGTATAATGAAGTATCATTTCTCGTCTGCAAGAAGGGTATTTCCCCAACCTTACTTACTTATCCAGAAACAAGTGTCATCCTATAACTTTTGTATGTTTCACACTAGAGTTTCCAATTTAAGATAGTCTGATATACTGCTACACCGCAAATTTAAAGGGCAATAAAAACAAAATCCTCATCTAAATAAGCTCTATTTTAAATGTTGACAAAGCAGTTGATGCAAATTGAAGCACTTGACATGTGCCCTTGAAGCTGGGGAGGGCCAGAAGGGGAGAATAGATCATATAGACTTAAGCAAACTGTATCATTCCTTTCTCTTCTTTTTTTTTTGTTTTTTTGTTTATTTTATTTTGGTATTTGTTCCCTTACCAACCTCTTGTCATGAGGCATCAATGGTTTTACTTGCAATTAATTAATGGCAGAAGACCTTGCTGAGCTAGACATGGACTATTCTTTTTCGAAGAAAGCAGTATTATAATTAGCAAAAATTTTGAAGTTGACTACGATCTAACCTATATGCACTCCCAAATTCAATTCAGGGCCAAGGAAAATAAGAGTAAATTCATTGCAAGCTGATGATAAACATAAATATATCTGTCTACATCATTTGATGATATTCAAATGGTAGCTAGATGGAACTTTTAATTGAATTTGATATCTATCCAATCCGGCATGAGAATTTTTCTTTCCCAAAATCAATAGGAAAAGACTTCTCTGGTGAAAAAGTTCCCCATGGATGGAAAACAACATTTCTTATTCCCCTATCTGCTGCTTTGTTACTATAAGGTAAGGTGGGAAGACCTTTTCATGTTGACGCTGTGTTATTTGTTAAAAACCTAACCACCACCACCACCCCCATTGCATCCCTTTTTTTTTGCTTTTTGCTTATTCTTCATCATCATCTGGGTTTTCCACTTTTTGAAGAAAAGTAATGCTAGTAATAGATTTCATCATGCATGCCTTGCTGGCCCAATACAAAATATACTCTCCCAATTTAATAGATGCAACTACATAGGCGAAGGCTTGCACATGGGGGCAAGTTAAAAGAGAGATTAAACAGGGAGGAAACTTAAGATTATATGGGTACATGGAATTCCCTATATATTGCTACTTGAAATAATTCTTCTTTACGGTGAGTTGGTGACTACCAGAAAATGTAAAAAAGAACATTGAAGAAGAAGGTCCATATACCCATGTGAAAACAAGGAAGAAAAGTTAATAGACAACATTCTCATAATAACTTTCTTTTGTTTCCTCTGTTTTTCATCCTTATTTCACTTTTCCAGCTAGACAACCGCTAAACATAGCTACATACAAATAAAATAGTAGCTAAAAACCCTGCTTAAGTACAAAAATATAGCCAGGCTTAGTGTTTTTAAGAGAGTTGGGCAACTTGATGACTTTCGTTTGAATTCAGAGAACTCTTCCAAGAAAAGAAAAAGTGTTAATGTACCAAAGAAAAAGTGCTCCCTTTGAGAAAATTCTTTCTCTTAACATAGACATAGCCATTAATGTTCTTCATCCGTAAGATTCGTTCATGCATAAGAGTATTATTCGTCTCTACACATATAGAACCACCTCTGTTACTGGCCCCTGGAATTATCACTGTCTACCAATCTGCTGTTCAATTTTGGTCACTGTCCATTAACAGCATTACAGCACCAACAGTAGAGGTAGGTCGAACCGTGCAGCACTACATCAAATGTCTACTATTTTACCTTTTGGGACCTCAGAATTTTTCTTCCATTTCTAACAATCTTTTCATCTTCAACTACTGTCAGTAGGGCCTCCCAGGTATTAATTTTGCTTTATGAGTGTCACTTGCAGATTGTACAATCAACTTACAAGTAAAAACACTGATGGTCTTCAATGATTACCAAACATGTTTTTCAAATGTTAATAAATCAAAAATAAAGACTTTCAAAAAATGTTAGTTTTTGCACGTTTGTAACATGTGCTTTGGTTTCAGGCCTGTCCAGGGAATAGACTGCAGAAGCACTGTCGTAGGGGGATTTATTTGGAAAATAATTTCGGTCATCTACCCAAAAGGTGTGGAAACCAAACCTCTACCTGCATTTTTAGACAGGTTGTTGGATTTAGAAATCATTGATGGGGACGTGAGAGGGCTTCCATTTCCTCTGCGGTTGTTATCAGAAGGAATTCAACTCCAGCGGCCCAATGGGTTCCAGCTACTGGAGTCGTACTTGTTCTCCACTTTCTCCGGGGTCTGGTCTTTCTCTTCACTTCCTCCAAAAAGATACAATAGCAGTACTCATTTTCTTGATTTCTTTTCCTTCTGTAACTAAGCCACCGACTCACATGTCAGCCCTCTCAATGCCCATACCTCAAATATTATACGGATAGGTCAGTAAATGAAGGCAAAAGTTACACCAAGACATGTAACATTAAGAAGTGAAGAAAAACAAAAAGTACTAATTCCAACCAGAAATTTTAGCTATCAGAAAATTTCACAAGGTAAAGATACAATAAAACGCCTCCTTAGCAATAAATTCTTGACAAGGAGGAACATGTTCTTGCTATCGACATTCACCATTAAGCAGGCATATAAAATAATACTTGAGTAATATCTACAAACAAATTCCTCATGTAGCTAATGTTGGGATTTATTGCCAACAGAATTGACAGCTAAGATTTCAACAAAGTGTGAAAAATGGCTCTTCATTTGTGTTTAGCCGATATGACTAATGGTATGGTCCTCTCTAAAACCGCTTATTGTCTAATAATGGGGCCTCTATACTGTCCCCTACGGACCACAAAGTTTTCAGGGGGTTGAATCTCTTCCAACCAAGCCACTTCGGAGAGATTTACACCACACAACTGATCAACACCTTTGGGAGAAGAAAACAGAGGCATTAATCAAAATTAAATGAATATTTTAATACGAGAGTATTACAAGAAAAGGTACCTTCCAGATTTCTTTGAGGGATCCTCCTAAAATAAGAGCAGTGACGCCCATCTTCTGAAGAGTATGGGGGTGAAAGCACATCAAAGAGTGCACAAGGGGTTAAAGCTTTGAAGCAATGAATGTTGCCACCAGTAGTTGGATAAAGAATTGTTGTTCCAGAGGGCGCAGTCACTTCACAATTTCTGACAAGTTTAGCAGGTCTTGCTGTAAAATTTTACCAATCAAGAGTTAATTTTTCAGGAAAATTGAGAAACAATTTGTTCTTTGAATGAAGTTATAACTTTCATACGTTTGTTGGCTCTCAAATCCATAGGCTAAAAATTAGTTATCACAACTATATAAACACAATGCAATATCATCCCATTTCTCATGCAACCAATGCGAACTCAACTTCAAGGTTTTCTAGAGAACAGGCAGGCTCATTTGACCATGCAACAATATCGGTAAATTAAATAAAATAAGTAAAACTAAAAGGCGGCCTGTGTGTCAAATCAATAGAGAATTCAAAGACCTCAATTGCAAAGAACTTTAATAAATATAAAAGCATAATGGTTTGAAAATTATTTGATCCTTTCAAATTTTGGCACCTCACCTCAAGTATATAAGTACCAAGGAAATTTACAAAAACAGAAAACCTACTCAACAGGAGATGAATGTTAAAATATTAAAGCAGCATTCTTCCAAAATTAAAGTATCAGTATTTGTTTATTGTATACCTAATCCATGCAAATATTAACTTCTGAGTGTCCTTTGGCAAACTGATGGGTAATCTTAGTCTGGTAGTACAAGTAATTAGCACTTGCCCAGAGTACAGCTCCATATTGAACAGTATTAACATTTTATGGCAATTCACTACATAGCAACAACATTATGCAAGCATATTATGTGTTTCAGATCAGATCATGTTCATGCTGTTGCATCATATCCCCTTGACATGATAAAACCAAGAAGCAAGACAAGAAAACACCCTGTGATTTTGTTTTGCATTTGTTTTTTGTTTTGTTTTGGTTTTTTTTTTTTTTGAAAATTACCCTGTGATTTTGTTGAACTGTTGTAAGAAATTTTCAACCATGTGCTAAATGACTATACCATCAACATTTCATATAGATAGCCTGTGTATTAGATATACATGCTTGCAGGGTTTTTGCACCCTCAAGAAGGCCCAAAAAACCAACCAACATCATCAGAAAAACATCCAATTCCCACTGTCTAGTGTTTTCATAACCTTGGGAGCACACAAAAAGGCATATGGCCACCATTAAGAATTGAAAAATAATCCATGCTTTACTGCATTGAATTAAGGGAAACTTGGAGATAAAAACCATGTGGGGCAAGCAGAAGTAGTTGCATCAGTGGCAAATTAAGAAAGTTTCCAGGGCAGTTGAGGTGGTTGTAATGGACTTAAGATAAACACGTTTTTCTATTACCAAAATTTCCTGCCAAGTGTAAACAACACCCAAATAACCATGTGTTATCCTAAATGGAACTCTAAAACATTGGGGTCTGATTTTACATTCAACTACCAAGAGTCACCAGGTACAACTAATACCAAGGATGCTATATTCTTGGCTTAAGATACTGGGAAATGCATGCATGTATACATGTATGTATCAATATTCAGTATCACAAGCCATGAATCCTTACATCTTAAAATCTAAGTAGCCCTTCCAAATGATACTTTTGGATGATAGCAACATGACTTTGAAGCTTTATCTTTGACACCCAAACATACTTCACAATAGAAACCAATTGCAGCTGAGTATCAATTTCAAAAAATTTGACTGAACTGTCACTTTAATATTGCAAATAGTAATATATAGTAATCAATGCATGAAAGATACATAAACTACAAAATACAGATTAATTTATTGTATAAGCAGAGGTGTGATTTTAAAATGACTGACTCCCTCTTCAAAGCACTTCTCTATTCCTTGACTAAGATAAAGGCTTACAAAAGATAACACCATTGAGAAAATGATAAATTGAATTATTTGCTTCAATAATGGTACGAAATGATGGCTGTAAAAACTAAACATTAGTCTAAAGATCTTATCTGAGAAAACCCACAAGATGCATTTTGAAATTGAAGCAACCATGATAATCAGTTCATTTTGAAGCAAAGTTACAGTTTTGAATAATTTCATTTATTTCACACCTGTGCAGAATCAGATTGTCCAAAAGATAATCAGAGCAAATCCTGAGAGCATAAGGAAACAGGAGATGCTCCACTGACACATGTATCTTATCTTTTGCTAAACTGCAGTTAAAAGATAAACTGTTTTCTACAAGTTAAGGTTTAAGACAATCTTAAGGCACTTGCAGTAAGGCAAAGAGCAATCCATTTGTATCTGTTTGAACTGTTTTTAATCATTAAATGCATTACAAATTATACATTTTGAGCACTTCAGATTCTCTGTAATTTGAGTATGTTGAAGTGGGCTAGTACTAAAGAATTACATTTCATTGACAGGTCTGAAGTTCTGATTCAACATGGCATTTTCCCTTCCATACGTGGGTGCACACTGATACCCCATACAGGCATCGAGAAAGAGGAAGCAAGCAGAAAGGACATCAAACAATTCCATAGGGCAGAAATATGATAGTGGAGGAGCATAAACACGTTTGGAGAAAAGATGATGAAATACAATGATTGAGTTATGCCGAACTAATCATGCATCAAGAGGCAGAGGGCAACAGAGATCACAGAAGATATTACGGACTATAACCAAGTATGAAAATAATACAATCTTTCAATAGAATGGTCTTCTATTTGTCTTTCAGAATGTTTGCAGTACAGCATAAATACCAACATATTGCCCAAATCTGCCATCATTTACATTTTCAATTTCATGCCGCCATGAGGTTTCAAGTTTTTTATGTATAAGCTTACTTTTCAACTTTTAGAATGTTTAGATTCTAATGATAGCAAGTGTTAGACAGCAATATCCAGCAATATCCATACACTACTATTTCTGAAAACACAGAAAAAGACGTTAATTTCATCTTGATCTCTGCTATCTGCTTGCAAAACAAGCCACAGCACTCTCAATCTTCCAGAAACTATTAGAAATCAACAAAAAATGATAACAATGGTTTGAAGCACAGCAAAGCCTACTTGAAAACACAAATTGCAATTGCCACTATTTGTACCAAATAAACCACATAGGAATTCCAAGATAGATAGAAAGGGCACCTTGAGATAGATCAGCATGACCAGGTAAATCAAGCCAATCGTATGATTTGACATGAAGCGAGCCATACAGAAGCTTGCTCAGAACAGTCATTCCTGGATGATTATGAAGTGGTATGATAGAGGAAGGTGGCATACAGAAGATCCCTATCTGCAACAAAACACCAAAATACACCAAGCATCAATTATTGACAAAAGGACCTTCAGCAGCACCCCCACCCCTTCCCCTAATGAGAAGATAAAAGCCTCCTCCTTAATGAAGATCTTTTTAAAATGTTCAAATGCATAAATACCATAGCAGTTATAGCGTGCAATGATTGGATTGCTTACAGAGAATCTATCACACTCATGCAAGTGCAAATATTTTATTGCAGGTGGATACTGATGAATGATATTACGCCCCTTTCTCCCATTGCTACCATTTATCAAACCTTTCCATCCACGCGATAATTGTGCCTCCTGTTCGAGACCCACATTAGAAGGCTTCAATCCATCTGAAATGGTGCATAATGTGGAAATGTTAAAGAAGATAGCATACACTAACTTGATGACCATAAAATGATTTTGATCAAGTGCAAGTTTTCAGCCTTCATAACGAAACTTTCAATTAAAGCAACAGAAAAAGCTGTTTTCCCACCTAAAATAGCACGAACGTTCTCCAGAGCTTCTTCTGATATTGGGCCATTGGTTGAGAATGATACTTTGCAAATATCATACAGTTTCTGAACCACTGGCATGATTAGAGGAGCAACCCGGCCAATAGATTACAGGTAGAAAGATCAAAGAATCAAATGCCTAAACCCAATCCTAAGAACAATCCATGTCATTCAATTTTATGATAGAGCATTCAAAAGCAACTTCCTCTCTCTGCAACAATCCCAAAAGCCAGTCAGACCAGTCCTACGCGAACACAAAGGGCAGCAATATACATGCACGGTAGTTTTTGTTTTTTTTTGAAAGGTTATGCATGGTAGTTAATTAATCCTATCCTCTCCAAGCTCAAGAAATCGCACCTAGCATACAAAACATACAAATATAACACGCCAAATTAAAAAAAAAAAAAACAATATCATGCCAAATCCTCATAAATAGAAATAGAAAAAAAAAAAACAATCACATTAAAGCAACTCCTTTGTGTGTTTACATAATCAAAACCCTTGTATATTCAAATTGAGACGTCCTTAATAAATCAAAAGGATTTCAGAATGAATTTCTTGTTTTCTTGGGATGGAATTAGAGTATTAAACAACAGAAAAGCAAAAATTGAACATGGGTTTATGCATAAATACAAAAGTTTTGACCCTTCTCTGTTTCTCCTGTAAACAAACAGAAATCAATGATCAGGCATGTCAGAAGATACAGTTACAAACTTCACAGGCATTTGCTTGCTTAACAGATTGGACTCAAAACCAATCCCAGTCTAAACTGAAACAAAAGAAGAAGAAGAAGAAGAAGAAGAAGAAGAAGAAGGAATAAAGCATAAAAGAGTAGCAATAACAACGTACCATCCTATAACAGAACCTTAAGCTGTAGTTGTTGAGATCAAACCTTTAAAAACGTCACAAAAGAAAAACATACTAGAGTATAATTTAAGATAACGAATAACAATAGACAGAGACAGAGGCCTGGGGAGGAGTATCAGGGGGGATTTGGGTCTAGCATGAGAAAGTGAAATAGAGGCGTTCAAAGTTAACAAGCAAAGTTTGTCAGTGCTTCAAAAGTTGTTTGTACTTCACTATTGTTGTGTGCTTCGCCTGGAATGTTTGTTTTTCTCGGGTGTCCGATGTTTTCATGTCCCATGCCGTAACTGCCACCAATTTTGGCTCACGAGCTCTAGTTCAATGCATCATCCCTCTTTTCAATATTTTAGGTGATAGCAACAGCGCATCATTAGCCGCTTTTTTTCTTCTTCTCCTTCTTTTTCTTTTTAATAATTTATTTTATACATATAACTAATGTTCCACATTTTCGACTCGTAATACTATTTTATTAAATATATATTAATTAATTGGCTTTTACTTCCCTCATGAAATCTAACTATTGATGAATTTATTTTCTTTTCTAAAATCGTTGAACCTTTAACTATGAATCTAAAAATTTTAAAACGCATAGTGATGTCTTTTCAAGTGATAATATAAGTCTTTTTTGGTAATTATTATATAATTGGACCTTTGTTCCATTCAAAGTCTTTGCCTCCTATCCCAAATCCCAATTTCAAGAGATTACAAAAAAAATAAAATTAATAAATAAAATGAGCTAAAAACCAGCTAAAGCCCATAGCCCAATAGCAACCTCTTTTGGATGCATGCCCTGACGAGCTAAGTGGCGTATTTAAATTCCGAAGGTCCTTTATTTTTTGGGCTATGGACTTTGACTGCCAAGGTACTGGGTTGGTCACTTTCTCTCATCACTGAGAATTGTAAAAGGTTTTACAACAAATTTTTTTTTAATTAAGAGAAAAGAATTTTAATTTTAATTTTTAAATAAATTTATATATTAATTAATAAATTAAATATTCGAGTGTAAATCTTTACTTTGAATTTGAATTTGTTATCCTTCAAATAGTAATATTCATGCACCTACTCTTCTAATTCGAAGTGCATGAACTATAAGAGGATTTTTACTGTTTTCGGACGTACTTGAAAGGTCCATAAAAGTAGCTGAAATTTAGCAATCACATCAAAAAGAAAAATTAGTATATGTTGTTATATACAGCCACCAAAATCGGATTTAATTCAATTTCAAATAATAAATTATAAGATAGTAAATTAAGTTTATATTTGATACACTGTCAAGTTATGAACTTTACACCATCATTGTATAATTACTACACATTAAAATTATATTACATACAAATTCTGAAATTTTCAAATTTGCCAACAACAAAGGAGCATTCAAAGCATAGCATATAAATTGAAATTAAATTGAAAGTATTAGTCGTTTTTGAATCATTGAAGAGAGGTTTATACCTAGAAATACAAAAAGACTATCAATAATTTGAACAAAATAAATAAAAAAAAGGGTTTTTTTATGGGAACAAATCATCAAATTGGAACAACAATTGCTTGAATTACCGGTTTAATTTATTAAAATAGTTGATGATGTGTTTGAAGAAGAAAGAAAAGAATTGAACTAAGGAAAAAGGCAACCGTGGAAATAGGGTTAAGATGGTGGGAAGCCACACAAGAGAGAGAGTTTTCAAAGGTTTAATATTAATTAATATATTATTATTTTCATAATCTAATTTTTCTTATAAAATAATTATTCCCATAATCACCTAACCGTGTTAGAAAGAGGGAAGCACGAAAATTGTGGGCCCAGTCAAAGGTGAAAAAAAAAAGGAATTAATTAAAAGAAATGGAAAGGGGCTGAAAAAAGCGCGTCCGAGTACAACGGAAGTGGGGGCCCTCACGACCATTCTTTATTTGTGTGGGGGCCAGACTTGACAGTTAGTCCTCTCCTTAATCCTTCGCGCAAATACTTACCAACACTAATAATACTTTTTTATGTGGACCCCCTCCCCTAACCCCCAAAATTAAACACCTCAAAAAATGGCAAATTTTATTATGACCCTTGGAAAAAACAAACAAACATGGAAGAGAAAAAGGAAAAAAAAAATTATCGAGGAAAAGAAAGCAAAACAGAACAGAGCTTGTGGGGGTGGCTGGTGGGGGCTCCACGCTCCAGCTAGGAAAAAGAAAGAAAAGAGGAAGAAAATCTCTGGAAAATTTTGTAAGAAAGGAAAAGAAAATTAGCAAGACAAGGTTGATCCCACAAAGAAAAAGAAGCTTGAAGCCCCCCCATTGCTGACAGAGAGAGCTAAGATGGTCGAAGAGAGGGAAGTACTGCTCTGAGATCATCCAGTAAAAAAGGGCAGTAATAGAAAAAAATTCCTGGGTTTTGTTTCTAATTTGTTGTTTTAAATTCCAAACCTTTTTACATATTTTTTTCTTTGCTGCCTTTTTGAGTCTCTATCAGAAACTTCCTCTCCACCACCACCACCCCCACACCTAGCAACAAACTACTCTTTTGTACTTTTCATTAATTCAGCCAAAATCCCAATATTACCATCGCAGCAACAGCATCAAAGAAAGCGAAAAAAAGTTTTGATCTTGTGCACCCTTTATGGTAAATTCGAGTCTTTCTTTATTGTTTTGAAGACCCTTTTGCTTTTCTTGGATTGCTTGCTCTCGAGGTCATTCTTTTGTTAACTTCTCTTCATTTCTTTTTTTGCGTGTCTTTTTTCAGCTTCTCTGGAGATAGTAAGGAGAAGTTAAGTTTCAGCGGTTGATAATTTGCATGCACTTCTTAAGAAAAAGGGTGTTGTAAGATCAATTTTTTTTTAAAAAAAAATGAGAGACCCTGATATGATCATTACTAAAGGTGGTGAATTTACGTTTATTTGTGATATAGCTTTTGCATTGTAGTAAAAAAACAAAGATTGTCTTCTTTCACGGTTTCTTGTAAAACAAAAGGAGCGTAGAGATTTTTTCTCTTTTCTTTTCTGTTGTTGGTGGTATTGTTTCGTTTCTGGAGTGAGTTTGGAGGAGAGGGTGCTTTGTTTAAGGAAACCTGGCGATTCTGTATAGCGTCCTGGCTGTTGGCAGATATTGTTGCTACCTCCACCTCTGCAGCATTTGGTTTCTCAAGCAATGGGGGGTAGATGGAACCCAATTGGATTCCATTTGTTAAGCTTCTTGTTCTTCATTCCAAGTTTCATGATTCAAGGGTCTTTGGCCATTAACTCTGATGGTAATTCCTTCTTATGGTATTTCTGTTTGATTTTTTTTAACAATGCTGTTGAATTTAATTGTTTGTTTTCTTCTTTTAGTTTGTTTGTTTTGATTTAATTGGATTTGGAGATGCAGGTTTGGCTTTGTTAGAATTTCGAGCGAAAATTGATTCTGATCCTTATGGTGCGTTTGAAAATTGGAATTCCAATGACAGCACACCCTGCATGTGGTTCGGGGTTCATTGTGTCGACAGTCAAGTGCAAATGCTGTAAGTCCCTTGGATAGTCATTAAAGAAATACGTTTGTTTAGAGAAGAATCCCTGCTATCTTCTTCTTTTGATAGGTAATTAATTTTTAGTATGGGAATGGTCTGTCAAAGTGGAGTATGGAGCTTGGTTAAAGAGTTTTCATTTTAGTTCTTTATGGTGTAAACTGTGAACGGATGAATGTTCTAATGTCTATTTTATTGTTTGCTTTTAGGGATTTGAGTGCCCTTTCTTTGGAAGGAACACTGGCACTCGAGCTGGGGAAATTAAGTGACTTAAGATCACTGTAAGGATTCACAATCTTGCTGCAAATAAGTGGATTTTTGTTCTTTTTCTCGGAAATTCTTTATGTACTTTTAACTTTTGTTCTTCTCGCAAGGCCAACAATACCGATAGTGGTCAGCATCATCTGATGTTGTGATTATCAATTACTACTTTGTCCCAATATATGATTTGGATACAAAGTTCTGCCATATCTTTCACATTTCAATTCTTGTTTACTGGTTGTCTTTTTTCTCATTCCTGCATAACTTTCTTCTTACCCTGGTTTTATGCATCTGCAATAGATTAACCTATTGTGAGTTCAAGGAATTCTGTTAATGAGAGGCACTGTATGTAGGTCTTAATATGCAGCCTCATATTTGATAATATCTGAGTGCTTGCTTAACCTAATTGAACATTCTGAATCTTTTTCTTTTTATTTATATTAACAGTGTGCTCTATAAAAACCGTTTCTCTGGTGCCATTCCAAAGGAGTTTGGCACACTTACAAAGCTGGAGCTATTGGATTTAAGGGAAAATAACTTGAGTGGAACAATTCCTGCAGAAATAGGCAGAATGCTGTCTCTAAGACGTTTGTGAGTTCACTTTTGTAAATTTATGCTGTGCATGAGGCTTTATTCTATGTTCTTACCTTTAACTAAATTTCCTTTCCACCTTAGGTTACTTTGTGGCAACAAATTTGAGGGGAGCATTCCTTCAGATCTTGGGAGGCTAAACTTGCTCTCTGATTTGCAGTTTGATGAAAATCTTACACTGATGTCGGCTACTGGAATTGGCTGTGTAAATAGAAAGTTTGGACTTTGGTAAGAGCCATCTTTGTGTTGACATTATGAATTTGGCATCAATTTGATTATTGCCTGGCTAGAGATAAGTTAGAAGAAGACACATATAAACAAAGCAGACTGATTTTGACGTTCACTGGCCCAAAGTTTCTTTAAATGCCTAGTTTCTTAGGGTCTAACTGCAACACAATTATATTAAAATAAGGGAGGAGATGAACTCCCTTAAAAATCATTTAACATGCCTCTCTAATCTACACCATTGCCTTGTATTCCCAAGTGAAGTGTTAATTCTAGTGCATATGTTAATTGGGGTTCATGGAGTCATTCATTGTTCTGCCTCATTTTTCTGTTCAAACTCTGGAGTTTGGATGCACAAAATATTGAATTTCATGTGAGAATCAATTTATAAACTTATCTTGATAATGCATACTTCATATTCCTATGAAGCAATTTGAATTAGTAAGTTATGCTAGGATAAGCTTCAGTATTTGGTCATAGCACACCATGCCAAGTGATGGCCCCAACATATTCTCAGACTTAGAGTGCTGCTAGCAGAACTATTATGTAGTCCTATTTTCATCTAAAATACTTTGGACTTGATTCTAGAAAGTGTTTTTGTGAATTTTTCTTTGAAATGTAGCATGTGGGAGATTAATATGCTAAACTTTACAGCTCTGTTACTTTTTAACCAATTAATTAAACTTATCAAGAGTTCTAGCCCTCTAGTTTTCTGACTATTTATTGCCCAAGTTGACAGCATCTGGCAGAGCAGTTTGAAACAACTGAACCAGGCAGAGTCATTGTTAATCCCAATTAAAGGAGCTCTTATACATTACCTCAATGCCTTGCCATTACCACTGTATGAACTTATCATATTTGTTTTTACTGTCCTATGTTTGTTTTTATTGTTGGTTATGTTATTTTAGTTTTGTAATCATCTCATTTACTTTATTCACATGATTTACCTTCTTACAAGGTTCAAGTTGCAAAAGGACTCTCTGGATGCCCATCAAGACAGTTGCTGCAGTGATTTGCCTGGTGAGTAAAACAATTGCAAAATCTGAGTCCATTGGACTGCAAAGTATGGCTTCTGGGAAACAATGACTTTTTTTGTTCTTACTAGGTTCATCTGAGCAACAAATGGCCCATAACATAAGGAATCTTGTCCCGTTTGCACGGCGTAGGCTGCTTGAGCAGTCAAAGAACCTCCCAGCTGCACCTGCTGCTGCTGTGTCTTCCACTGAACAGATCATTTCTCTCCCAACTACCAGAAGTAGTGGGACTTTCCCTGCTGTGCCAAAGGAAACAACAAAACAATCTCATGCCCCGGCCCCACAGCTTGATCCTTCCCTTCAGGGGACTGATTCAAAGCCTGTGGACCACTCATCCCAAACCTCTAATGCTGAGCCAACTGCTCAACAACCTTCAGCTTCTGGGAATATATGGAAATATCTCATTGTCATTCCCTGTGTGGTAGTCTTGGTTGTGGTTGTGGCCATGGTTATCATGTGCCGGAAACGAGCAGCAAAAACCATTGGTCCCTGGAAAACTGGACTAAGCGGACAGCTGCAGAAAGCTTTTATAACAGGTAGTTGTTAAATGTTTTGCTTGATTGTGTGTTAAAAGCCCAATGATTTGTCTAATTGTACCGTTGATTGGTGAGCCTGTTAATATTGCTAGTTGATCTAATTAAATCTTCACAATGTCATTGCATCCTATATGCTTATGAAGATAATTCAAATGCATTATTCCTTGGAAATCGCATAGTTTGATCATTCAGATTTTTTATTCCATAATCCATGGTTTGATTATGGTAGGAATTAGCAATGCTTAATCAAAAGATTCTTAAAGAAATTTTCTCAATTGACAAGGCCTTAATGTTCATCTTTGTCACATTTGATGAGGGCCCCAGTTATTTTTAGTTTCCCAATTTGGAGAATGGAAACTTTGCTTACTGTGCTGTGAAACATATGGTAGGGTCATTGGATTTCATTACTTGTCCAGTGTCTAATTTTCTGGCTAGATATCAGTTGATGTTGCTGATTTTAATATACTTAGCATGGGTGCCTTGATCTGAGATAATGTCCAGACCAGTTTGGACCCATTGACATGATAACCCTGGCACTATTTTTGTTGAATGCAGAAAAACCTTAATTATCTGTTTATTTGAAATGCAGGGGTGCCTAAGCTAAACCGATCAGAACTGGAAACAGCCTGTGAGGATTTTAGCAATATAATTGACACAATTGGGTGCTGTACAGTGTACAAAGGGACACTTTCCAGCGGGGTTGAGATTGCTGTTGCATCAATCAACGTTTCATCTTTGAAAGAGTGGCCAAAAAGCTCGGAGATGGCCTATCGGAGAAAGGTTTGTTGTTATTATGGTTACAAAATATAAATGTGATATTTTTTGGCCATAACACAAATGAATTTTATACTTTAGATCTCCTGATCATCTTTTTTATTTTAACTTTTTAATCAATTGTTATATTGGTGCTCACTGTAGATTGATACGTTGTCACGAGTTAACCATAAGAACTTTGTCAACCTTATTGGCTACTGCGAGGAGGATGAACCTTTCAACAGGATGATGGTGTTCGAATATGCTCCAAATGGAACCCTTTTTGAGCATCTGCATGGTTATATTTTCACTTACATGCGTATTTCCTGCTGGATATTTTACTCGATGTTGATTCTTCTCATTTGAAAAATGAGTTTATATATTTATTTTTGCTTTCAGTTAAAGAAATGGAGCATCTTGATTGGAATACAAGGACGAGAATCATCATGGGTGTAGCTTATTGTCTTCAGTATATGCACCATGATCTGAATCCTCCCGTAGCACATACAAACTTAAATTCAGCTGCTATCTTTCTAACAGATGATTATGCTGCTAAGGTACAGCAATTTCTGTGTCAATTGGCTTTATTCAGGTTCTTGCCATTATAAGACACTCATCCTCTTTACTCACGTTTGCAGGTTGCGGAAATCTGTAGTTCGCAGCCTGCACTTAAGTCGAAAACCTCAGGTGATGCTGAATCAGAGCATTCTGAATTGCCACCTTTTGCCGACCCTGAAGTGAATGTCTACAGTTTTGGAATATTGTTACTCGAAATCATTTCCGGAAAGCTTCCTTACTCGGAAGAGCAAGGGCCTCTTGAGAAATGGGTATGTTTAGGATGACACCCTCATGACCTAATGATTTTGTAGTGCAATCTCATCCCTCCCTTTTCTAAACTTGGCCGCAAGGCAAAAGCTACACTTGACTTGCTGCACAGTACTTTTTGGTAAACTAATAATCATGAACTTGCTTGCCAGGCTGCTCAATATTTGAATGATAAACGGAGCATCAGCTACATGATTGATCCAACCCTCAAATCTTTCAAAAATAACGAGCTTGATGTAATCTGTGAGGTTATACAAGAGTGCATCCAAGTAGATCCAAGGCAAAGACCAACGATGAAGGACGTGACTTCGAAATTGAGGGAAGTGATTAATGTCCCACCTGAGCAAGCTACCCCAAGACTTTCCCCCTTGTGGTGGGCTGAACTTGAGATTTTATCAGTGGGCTGAACTTCTCTGTGTTGTAAGTCAAAGTCTCTCTCTTACTTTGTATCAAAATGCAAAGGAATAGTTTTTTCCTTATGATTGGTTTCCAAATCACTTCTTTTTTGGTCACTTTGTTTCCATATATTACATATCCTATTTATTCATTTGTTTAATATTTTCCCCCATTAATCCTCAACACTTCATTGCAATAAAAGTTTGTTGCATACTCATTAATGGGGATTGTGTACCCAATTGTAATAGATGTATGTATTTCGTGATTAAAGTCTATGATGTAAAAAACTAACATAGCAAACATATCAATTTGTTGACATTCTTTTCTTACTCCTAAATTGCAACTGAAAGTAAAGCGTGCAAATTCATGGATAAGACAGATGACAGATGAACAGAATAGACCATGACTTGCAGTTACAAAACTCAGTAGTAACTTTTCTTAGAAAAGAGCGTTGTTGTGTGGCTCCAATCTAGGCCCGTTCTGGCTATCCCTTCTTTGGCCCCATTGCCTCAGCTGAATCTGAAGCATGCAAGTCCCAGCCAGAAAGTCCACAGATTGCGATGGGTTCAGAACATCCAATACTCCTTTCAGAGTCTTGAGCCTCACACAGTCAGCAGCTTTCATGACCCTCTCCAGCCCTGCCAGTATACCCTTGATCGCCACCTCAACCAGCCCGTCCACCTGACCCACCAACTCCCCTTTCCTTATTCGGGTCGCCATACGAACCAGCTCGACCATCTTGCGGTCGGCCATTGCCACTTGCTGCCTCTCCATTTCCCTCTCCACCTTCTCTTCCTCTAACTTTATCTTCATTCTTAACTGCTCTATCTTTCTTAGCTGCTCCTCCGTCAACTCAGTCAAACCAGGGCCAGGCACCCGAGTCCTCCTCATTGACTCAACTAGTCGAAATATCATAGATGGTTTCCAACCAGTAAGCCATGAATAAGCATTCTCTAGTTTGCTCAACCAAACTGGACAATAGAAGGCAAGCACATCTTCATGAGCAGCAGTCCATTTGACAGTGTAGAATTCTTTGTAATGGGCTGTCAGTTTTGACACCAGAGCTCGTTGTTCTTCAGCTTCACTAGTTAAACTTTCTTTCGACACCCTGAGAAGCTGTTGCAAGTAATCATCAAGTTGACAAATCCACTTCTCGAAGAACTGGGAGAACCTTTCTCCAACTGGGGTCTTCATTGTTTTTTTTTTTTTCACCTTTTGCAAGTAATCAAAGGGGCAGTGAAGTGTGGGTTATAGAGATGACTTAATTAGGACTTGGAAGAAAGTATGTGCCAGCATGCGACAGATATATACATGTAGTAAAGGGGAAGTTTGAGGGAGATAACAGATGGAAAAAGGAGTATAGGACACGGTTAGAGTGAGAAAGGGCAGTGCATGGCTTACGCGCAGCAGTGACCTAGTAGTGGATTTTGCAGGGGAGGGCTGAGCTGATGCATGACGCTTTGCAAAAGAGGGATGACATGAGTCCATGTAGTTTCTGTTTCTCTCTCCAACCCTTAATTCCATTCAACCTTTGACTGCCTCGAGGAGTCACGCATGCCTCTCACCAGCTGGTGTTGAGGTTCTAGTGTGGATAAACGTGTCGTCACAGGAAAGAATCTTGGTTCAACGTGGAACTCGTTCCGGCTGTTGCTTCTCAAAACTTCATTGGGTCCCACCCTTTTATCTTCTACGAACCGGGCTCTGATAGGAGCTTTGTTTGACTGCGGTGAAAAACCTTTGCGCCTGGTTTCTGTTTTTCCATTTTATTTCGTAAGAACTTGCTTCATGCTTGGTTTTCTGGAACTAAGAAAATCATTCTGCCCATTACAAAACACGTGCATCTGGGAATTGCTTCACCCATTACAAAACACGTCCATTTTATTTCCAAAGTTTGCACTCGCATCTTTTGACCATGAATCAAGTGATTGATGAGAACAGAAATTTGGGACAATTAAAGATCATATGTTGGTACCTTAATTTCTTTAAAGCTTTTCTTTAAAGAAAAATATTTAAAAAGCAAAACACCAAAAGCTAGGCGTACCATTCTCACATTGGCTTGAAATCGAGCTTCCGTTCTTGATCCTTGGCGTACCATGTTTGATATTCATGCAAGCGTTCCAAATCAAACAGGCTCTTGGCTTGATCACAGTCTCCTATGATTGCACTTGTGATCATTGGCAATTGATTCTCACATTTCAACCCTAGGGCCTCTAGACTTCTTGGGTCGAATCTTTCTATGAGAGAACACAATTTCCCTACCATATATATTTCTCCGCTTGGGAGAGTTGGGATTCCATTCCCTAAGAAAAAAGACGATGAATTTTATTTGGAACTCGAGAGAAATAGCTTATATGCTGCTCAGAATAAAGCCCTGCTCCCTGTAGTTCCATTTGAACCGACAGTAATTGATGGTTTGTGTTCATTTTTCGTCTAACAAATTAATATCCATCCCTGCAGACCACCTGAACCTGATAAAAGTTTTTCATATTCCAAGCTTTAAGCCATAAACTATTTTATTGATTCAATGACGTTACATAAATTTGTAGACGTTGCATAGGCCACATATACCATCCACCCTATAAAACCACTGCCTGAACCCTCCCTGACAAAGTGAAAGCCCACCACCCAAGCTTGAATATTGGACAACAGAAACGACAATTTCAGGAAAAAGAAAAAAAGGGGTTAGCAGAAACGAGACAACAGAGAAAGGAATTGGCATTTGGCAAAGACTCGCATTGATTTTAATCGTGTTGCATGGGCACGTGGGGTGAGTGAGTTATCTTCATGTGGGTGAGTCATAGCAGACATTTTCCACGTGTATGTGCATATTCGACTGATAAATGTAATACTTAGATAACCATACACCGTTCATGAATTACTATTTACTACTATCTGATCATAAGCTTATTGACTTTAACAACAAGCTTAGATTCAGTTTCATGATCTCGTAGTTTGAATTGAGTTCAACTGCATCATGCAATTTGAATATTTCTACATTTTTATCAACTATCGCGTGAAGCATTATGTGTTAAATCATACCTCCATTAATGCTTCTCTTACCACCGGAGCCGACCTAGCTAGAGTCTCGCTTGGGTCGCCAAAGCTTTATCCTTCTGCTAGGGATCCTATAATGATATATTTAACGCTTGGACAAGAGTTTGGGTGGGAAGTCCATTCAAAGTTCAACCCTCACCCACCTGATCAGTCTTTAAGTGGCTTTAGGGAAAAGTAATGAATACTATATATCAACTCTCCTGCGAGCGGAGGAGAGCTTGTGTTTTAACCTGAAAAATAAGCCAACGAAAACTGAAGTAAAATACAACTCCACTGCTAGTAAAATAATGTAGTCCTAGTATCGATGCGGTAGCAAGATTGAAAATTTCGTCTTTTTCCACATGTGAAAAAGATCAAAGAAACAACCCAAATTGAAGCACACAGAAACACACAATCCCATCCCTTCTTTTTTCTTTTTCTAGCTTTGGATCCCTTGGCTTCACATGTGGAAATGGACACACATGTAATCACAACCCAAACCCCCAAACAAAATCCCTTGGCTTCATCGCTTAATTAGCACAATTGAAATGGCTAGTGATAACCAACGTTTACAATGTTGTTTCCAGGAATGGATGACCACTCAAGAACAAGAGTTAAGCGAGCTCCTCCAAGCCCTCAACCTAAAAGAAAATGATGTCAACTCATCCGAAAACACGTATGCCAAACTGGCTGAGAAGTCCATCAACAGTTTCCAAGAATACATTGACAAAAGAAACCAACTGTCTCGCCGGGATGTTTCAGGCCTTTTTGCACCCTCATGGAACACTGCCTTGGAGAACTCCTTGCTTTGGATTGCGGGTTGCAGACCCTCAATGTACATTCGACTCACTTACGCACTCTGTGGGTCACAGGTCGAGCTCCACCTCCCTGAAATCCTCCAGGGCTTAGTCAGGGGAGACCTTGGCCAGATTTCAGCAACACAGCTGGGAAAGATAAACGATTTGCACATGAAGACTATGAAGGAAGAAGAGAGACTATCGAATAACTTGGCGAGCTTGCAGGAGAACATAGCAGACCAGCCCATAGCCGTGATTGCAAAAAGGTTGTGCCGGGTCGGTGAATCAAGTGGGGACGTAGATCTTGCACTGGACGAGCACAAGAGTTCTATGGCGAGCATGCTCCAGGAGGCTGATAAGCTGAGGCTAAGCACGCTAAAGGAATTACTAGGCATATTGACACCAGTGCAGGGAGTGGATTTTCTCGCGGCAAGTAAGAAGCTTCACCTTTGCATGCATGAGTGGGGAAAGACAAGAGATCATAGGCATGGTAGGAACTAAGAATTCTATATAATCTATGCATACCATAAGCATGTAAAAATTTTAAGGTAACTTTTTTAGTTGATCTGAATGCAATTAGCTAGTAGTATCGACGTATAAGCAAAAACTATATAATAGTAGTATCTATTGAATTTTTTGTTTGGTCTCAATTTTTCTTTTCGGGAGAGGAAACATATAAAATAAATAAATAAATAAAAGAAGGGCCGGGCACTCCATCTTAATACTCACAGGTAGCATACATGAGAGCCTGCCAAAATAAATAAAAATAAAAACGTAAAGTGAAGTGAAAATAAGATTTGTACTCTAAAATTATCTGTATATACTATTATAAGATTTTACAACGTTCCAAAAAAAAATGGTTTGAAAAATCTCTATAGGTGTAAGTATTCCATCGGATTATTGGGTTTGAAAAAAAAATTTAATTGAACTTAATATTAATTTATTAGGATTGAAAATTTAGTAGGAGTCTTCATTATCCGAGCTAATTGATTTAATATTAATTTATCAATATACGTTTATATATAAAAAAATATTTCAATAATTAAAATATGAGATTTTTAACGTAAAAATAGATATGTCATCCCTTAGATAAATGAGAGTGTCTATCACCATGGATGAGTCTTATTAATTAATGCTTAAAATTATGCAAAAACTTGTACCACTATTTTAAAAGATCTAAACCCAAATTTTGTGCGAGCCGAACACAAAATATGTTCTTTAATTCTCTAAAAGAGAAAGAAAAAAAAGACAATTTTAATTTATTTATAGTTTATCTTATTTATCTATTAAGTGTGTTCCAAAGCAGTAAAACACACAATGCCTCATACAAAACTATAGTATTATGCCTTAAATCCACTGTTACATGGTCCAGAATTATTTTGGTTGGAGGTTAAAGAAAGGGGAAAGTAAAAAACGGAAGGGAGGCGGTCAATGGCTCATCACTGCTGTTTATCCAGTTTCAAGCTGTTGCGACATCCCAAGACATCCAAGAAATGGGACAAAACAATGGTCGGGGCTCTTTACAAGCCCATGGTATAGAAATCGAACAAAATATCCACGCAGTGCAAAATTCTGGAGGCAAAGTTTGATCAAAACAAAATAACCATGTACCACCAATTAATTGTTAACCATTAACAGGATAAAGTGAGAAAGTCCAAACATATGTTCATTAATTGGTAGAGGATTCAAGTCAAGTTCAATACTACCATTACAGGGGAGTGAAACTTTGTTCATGGTGAGATGACTTTGCTATGTTTCTGTTGTACTGAGAACTGATTTATTTGGTGTCAAATGTCTTGGAAGGGAAGGGATCAGGGCGGTGGAGTGTGCCCCTTGTGAAGGAATTCTGGAAGTTTAATGACTGCAACGTGCAGTGTGCAAATAGCGATATTATTGCTTACTTGGTACAGAGAATTTTTGCAAAATCCGGTTTCCAAGGGATGATCCTGGGCTATGTGAGATGGATGCGGCAGCAAGATTCATCTCAGGTGCAACCTGGTAAAAAGAGCTGACTGTTTTCCATACGCTGTGGCATTGAGGAAGCCTGTTTCCTCTGCCGTGTCCTGCTGCAACACTATCTTTTGTGCCGTAGTGAGCTGAGAAACTTGGGGTTGAAATGCTCAGAAGATGGTCCCTCTCCACCAATTGTTGTGAAATCCTCTAAGAGGATAAGACCAAAATATGGGCCTAGCAGTCTACCTCGAAGTACAAGCAGGGAGACAGTTGTGCTTGTATAAAAGAATGAATTCTTCTATCACCTGTCATGGATTCAACAATCCAAATTGGTCTCTACGTGAATCTTTCACAGCTAGTAATATATAGCAAGAGGACAAGAACAACAAAGATGAGGGATACGAATGCAAGATTATTTTCTGGCCAAACCTGGCGAAATAATTCAAAATTAGCTTTGTGGTGTTCACCAAGCTCCTTATAACCAAACATCGATCCAAATGACAACATTGGCTCCTGATCAGCTGATTAAATGATGACCATACAGTTTTTTTTAAAATTAATCTTGTAGCTAGCTTGCATAGAGTTCACGTGTTTCAACCACAATCATGTTTAGAGACGCAAGCGATCTCAACTCACTGTAGGGCATGGCTGTATTCCTGTATGGGCCATGGCGCGTAAAGAATTGGATGGTTAGGTCCACTAAGGACATTGCAAAGGTTTCAATTCAACTACCTGTCCATAAATAGGGTAGAAGACTCCAACAGACGAGTGATTCTAATGAACCCGAAAGAAAAGCGTAGTGCGGATATGTAGCCCAAGAATGAACAACGACCTACTCAAGATGTGATATGACGTTGAGGTCGACCAGCTCCAAGACAAACAACCGAGGGATGCCCGCTTGATAAGGTCGTTTGCTGCCTGGAATCGATGTTCCAGCAACTAACTCTTCTCTCTTCACATCAGAAACTTGTGTTGGGTTTGTGGCTAAAAGTATTGATCATATGTGGGTCAGTTGGCCAAACTGTACCCACGTGGTCTGCCAATATGGAAAATCTCAAGTAGAAGGGAGAGGCTTAGGGCCCTGCTAAGATGGACCCATTTGATTGTTGGGCGTCCACGTGGAGGTGGTAGAAGCATGGATCCGAAATTTCAGTGCTGTTGAAAGTCCCAAACCTACCGTGAGAAGTTTTTATGAAGTGGCCAGAATAGCCTAGTGGAGAGAGATTCACAGCACTGGAAGTCTTTTCTTTCCTGCTTTAGGGGAACATATTGAACCATAAGCTCAGCTTCATCGTTAGCAGCAGACCCTTATAATTTTTACTGATCTTTTTTATCCAGCCGCTATGATTCTAATCCATCAATCAGGGAACGAAGCACTTTCCCTGGTAGATATTGGATATGGTTTTTCCCAAACTTATGATCTAATGCAACCAATGTATTACGAAAGAATGAGATCATTATGTTAGGATTTGAAAACAATCACTAATTGACTTACCAAAAGAAAGGTATTTTGACTTGCCAAATACAATTATACCCGCAACCAAGCTAGATTACCAAATACATAGGATCTGATTCAGCTTGTTTTACCAAAGCAACTGCCAAGGAAATCTAGCTTTTCCAGTAGTTAATCAAATGAAAGCGGGGTAACCCCTTTTCCCACACATGCTAAAAATCTTGTGCCAGTTGTGCGGATTTCCTTGAATTTTGTATATACACAATATTCCCGAAGTTTGTTTTCTACCGGCTGGAGATGTCCACCACTTGATTCTCATGTTCATCTCATCATTCAATGTTAATCCATTTAACAGCCGCGTGTCTAGAGAAAGAATTTTCATCGAAGTTCCCATATATGCTGCATGAAAACCAAACGTTTCCCAGATACAAATTGTAGCCGTCCGATCCCTGTTTACAAGATCCAAAATATCAGCACTCTGAAAGTTACTTTATATAGGAGGGAAATTATGTCCAAACCTTCAATAGTAGAGGCTCACCCAACTTGTGCTATTTTTGAACAAGTCTGCTTTTTCTGTTTTTCTTTGTATGTTTCTTTTTTTTTTTTGGGAATTCTGGTAAAGATTTTTGCAGTTTTGCTACAAAGAAAATATACCAAGTTTTGTGCCATTTTCAAAGGGGATTAATATTTCTTGCCGGGCCTAGTGCCTATTGGCAGGGCAAATTTTGAATCAGCTTAGTCCCCTAGCCCCTTCTCTCCTCCTTTGTCCAAAAAGGACCGATTGTCTCGGTTCTCAACCAAAGAAACCATAGCAAAATGTTCAAGAAAGTGCATGGTTTTATCCATTAATTCATTGTTACCTGTAGAACCTTCAGCACTGATTTGTGTAGCAGAAGGAGAGATTATGGAGAAGAAAGGGGTAATATTGATGAACAGGTTTGAGCTTGGGCGGTTACTCGGGCAAGGGACATTCGCCAAGGTTTACCATGCCAGAAACCTGACAACAGGTCAAAGCTGCGCCATTAAGATTATCGATAAAGAGAAGATAATGAAAGGGGGTTTAATAGATCAAATCAAGCGTGAAATCTCAGTTATGCGCCTTGTCAGGCATCCCAATGTTGTTCGGCTCTACGAGGTCATGGCTAGCAAGGCCAAAATATATTTTGTCATGGAATATGTTAGAGGTGGTGAGCTTTTCAACAAGGTTGCCAAAGGGAAGCTCAAGGAAGATGCCGCCCGACACTATTTCCAGCAATTGATTGCAGCTGTTGATTATTGCCATAGCAGGGGGGTTTATCATCGGGATTTGAAGCCAGAGAATCTCCTCCTAGATGAAAATGGGAATCTGAAGGTTTCGGATTTCGGCTTGAGTGCTTTGAAAGAATCAAGGAGACAAGATGGTCTTCTTCACACGACTTGTGGAACACCAGCCTATGTTGCACCAGAAGTCATCAACAAGAAAGGCTACGATGGAGCCAAGGCTGATATTTGGTCATGTGGGGTCATTCTTTACGTTCTGTTGGCAGGCTTTCTTCCTTTTCATGATCAGAATCTCATGGAAATGTATAGAAAGATATGCAGAGGAGAATTCAGATGCCCACAATGGATTCCACCAGAAGTTCGGAAGCTTCTTTCAAGGATTCTTGACCCCAATCCAAGCCAAAGAATCACGGTGGCTAAGCTCATGGAGAACAGTTGGTTTAAGAAGGGGTATAAACATATCGATAGCCCACCACCATCCCCTCACGCTCGTCGCATCGACTTGTTAATTAGCGATGTTCATGCTGCCTTTGACTCGTCAGGTCGTGAAAACAGTTCTCAGAACGAAGCAGCAGTGCCAACAAGCCCTGTCAGGCCGAGTTTTTTCAATGCTTTTGATATTATCTCTCTTTCACAAGGTTTTGATTTATCAGGTTTGTTTGAGAAAGATTTGGATCAAAGAAATTATTCACGATTTACGACCAGAAAACCAGCCACAGATATCGTTTCTAAATTTCAACAAATAGCTCAGACCGAGAGTTTTAGCATCAAGAATAAGGACGGAAAGGTAAAATTGCAGGGCAGCAAGGAAGGGAGAAAAGGACTGCTTGCTATAGATGCTGAGATTTTTGAAGTTACGCCTTCTTTTTATGTGGTAGAATTGAACAAAACCGCCGGGGATACCTTAGAATATAAGAAGTTCTGTAACCAAGAATTGAAGCCTTCGCTGAAGGATATAGTGTGGACTTGGCAAGGAAATGAGCAGCAACAATCATAACCAGAACCTGCTTTGAGTTTTCTTTTCCTGTATAGAAGGGGTTTCTACAATTTTTTCTTTTTTGGTTCAAATATATATGGAATTGCTGCCAAATAGAGCTTCATGCCCTCAGTGAGTTTCAATTGCTTTTCCCATCTTGTAGATTGAATTTCTGCGAAAGAGGGTTTTAGTTTATGCACAATTTAACTTTTCTGCGAAAATTATAAACAAGATGACTGTAAACAAGTCCGGTCTGAGATTTACATGCCACGGCCCTATCAACTCGCCATGGCATTTAACCAGTTAGCACTAACAGAGTCCAGATGACATGATTTTCTTTATCATATATATATATATATATATTTTTTTTTTTAATTGTTGGGAAAAGTTGGGGTGCATTAGTTCAACTGATTTCAAAGCGCTATACATGGAGGATGCCACTCATTCTGGTTCCTCTACTGTAAGTTCTTACTTGTTACTAGAGGTTCTGATTTGTCCCCGAGCCTTTGAACTTGAACTCAAGTTTTGATAGTTACCGGAAGTTGATCAAAGGCCGAATTGAATAAGGCTGCTCATGTTATTAGGGCAGACGACGATTTGGCTGTTAATTTGAATCTCAATACCAGTCCAGGGTGCGTCTTGATTCACGGCCCACTGGCCACAAATGGATATATGTGCATGTTCTTACCAAATTCCCAGCATTGAATTTTCTAAAGCAAAATGGGCACTTGCTACCTTTAATGTCCGGGCCATAAAACGGTTGTGTTACCTTAGGAGGCAAGGATGCTTTCATTATATAACCATATAATGAACTGCTTTAAGTTTGTACTTTGTTTCAAAGTAGTAAAGATATTAATTTCTTGTCCCCAAAAGAAAAAGAGACATTAACTTCACCGCAAAAGAACCGGCAGCACCAGGCAGGTGGGTTCAGCGTTTGAAACGTGAAAGTAAAGTTCAGTGTCGGCTGCAGTTACAGAATTGTGAAAAACTTTCCTGGTACCAGCGAGACTAGGCTGTGAGCTATTAAAGCTACACGCACTATACCGTTTAAGACAACACCGTAGTATCGATTTGGAAAATAAATTAGTAGGATGTTGATCGGCACCAGAAGCTGAAATCTCTGGCAGGATTTTGTAGTAAGGGTATCAGTATTCTGCAGCATGGTCTGATAAGTTGCAAATTCAGGACCAAGTGTGGCAACCTATTCAAACGAAGAATCCCCAGCTTCAAGCTCATGAATTCCTACTTTTGAAGAAGTAATCCTCTCAGTTTCGGCAAGTGAATTGAATAGTCATCAAAAAATATAGGGTTTCTCCAAACCATGAGAAAACCTCATAAACAAAAAAGATCAAGGCCCAAGATTGTGGCGGCCTTTTTCCCCAAAACTCCGACAGAACCCAACTGGAAATTAGACCTGCTTCAGTCAGCAGTGCTTCTCGCATGTCATTAAATTTTATACTATCTGATATCTGAGTTGGCCGCTGGACCTTTCACTTTGTGCATGATATTATTAAGCCAAGGCTTGATTGTCTCCTCTCAATTGCAAGACAATAATCCCCAGCGTAAGCTGAGTGGTCAAACTTGGCGACATTGCTCTGAAACCCGAGGACTCAGTGAGAACACCATGAACTCACTCGTGCCTGCTTCCACCAAAACTCCCATTGCAGGCTATCAACCATTTTATCTAATCTCATGAACGAAGCTGAGTCACAGAGACTCCAGGCATTTATACTCACATTGCAAGAAGACAAATTCGACGCCATCCGAAGATGACAATCAAATGGAAAATCTACACTTAAAAAGATTTTGGATTGAGATGCCCCAAGAAAAAACAGAAACAGCACAACAAAATACTGACAATTTTTTAAAGTTCAATCCTACCAAGATTTCGGCTGACCAAAACAACCGAAACATAAGAAAAAAAGCATGACCAATTAAATCAATATCTCCATTAGAAGATGTTCACAAAAGATGTGTCCAGAATCCGAACAAATGTAGCCCCCAAAAAAGCCTAAAAACTTCCAATGAATTTTCAATCGGTGATGCTTGCTTGCACTCATTTCTTATCTATGTGTCTCTATTTCATTCAAGGTCGTCCATTAAATAAATAAATAAATAACTGAAACTGTACAAAGAAAATGACTAAAGGGGAAAGCTAGTTTCAACTTTCAAGTCGCATACTAATGTCATAATTCCTCTACGTGGTCCATTAATTTTTTGGCTGTGCTAATGAATACTGGTAGCTAAAGCTTCCTATAAGCAGGAAAAAATGCACTCGACCAAGAAAATTGGTCCTCCTAAATCCGACAAAAACAAAATATAAACCCTACCCAAGTACCTACTCACGTGACCAAAGTTCACCATCCGTAAAGGCATTCAAATTGATCCAAAAGTCAATATTTTTTACTGCAAATAAGCACATGCTATCTACATCGTCGCTTCCTGCTCATGTATCTAAGCTTCTCCCCAAACGAATCTTGACTGAAACAAGGAATCCCTATGGTGGCCAAATAGTAATGGAAAGCCATAAACTCTTTGCATGCCCAATTGGCATTTTTGGTAAGCACATTGGCAATTGCATGAACAAAATACAATAACAAAATAAACCAAAGGCATTATTTAATTTGCTCTTTAAGGTTTCTGTCGTGTTCTTGAAAAGCATAGCAGGGTTTATACGCCTGTTGGAACAATTAGTCCAATCATCAGGGTCAGATTCGTTTAAGCAACTTGCGAAATGAACATGCCGCTAATTAATAGCTGGATTCGCAAGAAGAAGGATCTAGCATTTCTAGGAGTAATAATAATCAAATCAAGCCAGAACCATTTGCCAGAAGATTCTGATCCAACTGGCTTGGTTTACGGCTATTTTTTAATTTTAGGTCATTGCATGGATGACCTCCTGGACCCACAAAATGACATCCAGGATAAAGAGGAGGAAAAGAGTATGAATACTCCATGCCTGTTGATTGCAATGAGCTGCAACTGTAATTTGTCCATACATGCATATGATGGTTCCAACATTCATTCTCAGGGTTGTGATAGTTGCAACCCTTTGGACAACAGAGGGGCCACATATGAATAATGTCAGAACAATGTCTCAAAAATGCCCAAACTGTACAATTGCCTTTTACCAATGCATTCTACAGGCCAAATTCAAATCAATAGACATCAACGAACTGATGACTTAAATGCTAAGTAAATCTTTTTATTGTACCCAAAAAAAAAAAAAATTAAAAGCAGTGGAAGGGCATAGAAGGACTTTGATTTCAATCCTCATGGCAGTCCTTTTCCTTTCAACCACCTCGGTCTTATAGAAAAGCAACACCCCATCAGACAACTAGTTGGAGCTCTAACTGTGAGGTTAGAGTAATTTGGCATGAAATTAAATTAGCTGAAATTGAATTGTGATGTTACTTGTGCGGCTCGCATTTCAGCAATATGCAACGCATGGACAGAGAAGAGACATGACAGCAATTCTTGCAAGAGACTTATAACCGTTTATGAACATGCTTTCAGATTTAGACAGGTAGATTCCTTGTACACATTTTCCATTGAACTTTAAGATGTCTACAATTTTCTGCTTCACTTATTAAGGGTCAAAAGTGCGAGTGAGCCCTGCCTACCTATCTAGCAAAACTCTGAGCGGTCAGGAGAAACTCATAAGAAAAACAACTCAACTAGATCGTATAGAAGGTCCATATTTATACAAAAACCTCCAAAGCAAAAGCTGCTACGCACCTATTATGGGTTCACATTAGATTTTAGTTCTTCCAGTTAAACTTGAAACTAAGAAGAAGAACTATAAACTTTCTGTTACCAGCAGCAAATACTAAACTCTGCTGGTTAGAGTTTTTATTTTTCTACAAAATTATTATTCCAAATCCTCAAGTAGTTTGAGATTAAGGCTATTAAAATAGTGGAGCGAAGTTTATGAATCAGGTCATTCTTTCCATATGCTATTGCCTTAAAGCAAACAGGCCAAAGTCCACATAATCAATATAACATAAAAGCTAGTTGCATGTAGAAATTCAGCAACAGATGAAGAAAAACAAAAAACATCCATACCAGATGCTAACGCAAAGTATTGTCAAAATTATAAGAAGACTATATATAAATTAAATTTCTCATTAATTCATTTCTCAATAAAGTGGATGGAAATATCAAATATACAAGCCAGAAACCCAATTGCCAAGATTAGTAGGAATTCGTATTCAGTTCTCTGTAATCTAATCTATCCTTCCCGATACGAGAATGGATCATACAAATATATCAAGTCAACTAAAGCTCCGCCTAAGTAGCATAACAAAATGAAAATCGAAAAGAATAACTTTTTTTATGATACAAAAGCCTTAGCAAAAGAAAAAGAAAACAGAGAGAAAGAGAAAGGCTTACCCTTTTCCCTTCCCCCTCTCTCTCTATTCCGTATCCGAAGGTAAATGTGATACATCGGCAGCAGCAACAGCTGTAGATCGTGATTCCTCCAGCATCAAGTTCTCTAACCCAGGTTTCAATTCCCTGTTACAAAACTCCTCGTACTCTCCTCGGTCCCCTCCTTTCTTCTTCACTTCCACAACAACCAAAGAAGGTGTCAACTCGAATATCTCAGCAGCAATTGTCAATGGCCCTTTCACCCCTTCTCGAGAACCCTCCAAGCTAACTCTACAATCCTTTTTCCTCACTGTAAATCTAACCACCTTCGCTATCTCCTCCAATTTGGATATAATTTTAGAAACCGGCGCCCCGGAAACAAACCTTGCTCCTTCCTCTCCTTCCTCAAACAATCCAGATAAATTAAACCCCGGGGAAAACGAAATAAGATCAAACGCATTTAAACTAGCCGGCCTTGGTAGTGAAGTAACTTTCCTCCGAGTTTCGAACTCAGCTTCTGATTCAGACAACGATGACTGGTCCGAACATGATCCCACGTCATCAACGTCCTCCCCTACATTGCATAATTTATCATCTTCAATGTAAAACTTAATATGTTTAAACCCCTTTTTAAACCATCGGTTCTCCATGATTTCCGGAATCGTTATTCTCTTTTCCGGATTCGTATCCAGAAGCTTCGTAAGTAGCCGAGTTAACTCAGGTGAAAACCATCTCGGACACCTGAACTCACCCTTGTAAATCTTCTTGTACATAGCCATAACGTTGTGATCGTGAAACGGTAAATACCCCGCCATTAAAACAAATAATATTACCCCGCAAGACCAGATATCTACTTTCGCCGCATCGTATCCTTTCCTCGCCAAAACTTCCGGTGCCACGTAAGCAGGGGTCCCGCAAAACGTATGAAACAAACCGTCTTGCCGGATCTGATCCGAAACGGCGCTCAACCCGAAATCGGAGACTTTTAAATTCCCTTCTTCGTCTAGCAGTAGATTCTCGGGCTTCAAGTCGCGATGGTAAACGCCGCGCGCGTGACAAAAATTGACAGCTGAGATTAATTGCTGGAAGTATTTTCTGGCGGCGTCTTCTTTTAATCGGCCTTTGGCAACTTTGTTAAAGAGTTCACCCCCGCGTACGTATTCCATGACGAAGTAGATTTTGGATTTGGTGGCCATAACTTCGAAGAGTTGGACGATGTTCGGGTGACGAACGCGGCGTAGGATGGCGATCTCGCGCTTGATGTGAGCAATTAAGCCACCTTTAAGGATTTTTTCCTTGTCGATCACTTTGATGGCTACACTGTCACCGGATTTGACGTTGCGCGCATGGTAAACTTTAGCGAAAGTGCCGTGTCCGAGGAGTTTCCCGACTTCGTAGCGTCCTAAGATAAGAGCTTGGGCACCGTTTGCGTCTTTCTTGGCGGTGGCGACGGAGCTGCAATTCATTGTGGTGGATGTTAGGGTTTGGTTATTTGAGAGAATGAAATTTGAATGGTTAATGATTGGCCATTCGAAGGAGGACAATTGAGTGTGCTCTTTTTTTTTCCTTTTTGTTGGGTGGGAGACTGAGTGGTCTAAAGAAATTGAATTTGTTAAGGGGTTGGAGAAAGAAGATGCCTTTAAATAAGAGGGGAATATACTCTCGTTTTGTTTTTCTATTTTAGGTTTTTTTTATTAGTTTTTGTTTTAGAGGGTTTTTTTAATTTACATGTTAGCATGTCAGGTTATTTTCAAGAATTTTCTCAACAATTCTAAGTTATCATTTAAAAAAAGGATCACACGATGTTAATCTGAAAATTAAAAACACAAAATATGATAAAAATTGAAATTACAAGCTATGTAGGTAGAATTTAATTTTTTAAAAAATTGAAATTACAAGGGTGTATTAATTTTTGATTAGTAAAATTATAAAATATCTTTAAATGTCAACAAATGTATTAATTTTAAATTTAAGATATTTTCATAATTTTAGTAGTAGTATGAGACAATGTATTCATTCAAAAATATTCACATGCTATTAATTAAGAAAAATAAAAACTGCAAGGAAGAAAATGTTAAAAACACAAAATTAAAGGTGGAGTTTACTTTAAAAAAAACAGTTGCCTAATTAAAAAAGGTCGTATACGAGAGTATAATCCTTTGTTTATAAAATTTTATTGACATGATATATAAAAAACACTCTTTAAATTTTTTTAAAAAATTTAAATAAATCTTTATACTTTTATTATGTTTAATTAATTTTTTATATTTTTATTTTAAATCAAATAAAATCTTATCACTAATGATTTAGATAAAATTTTATTTATCATTTCATATTACGCAACGTTAACATAATATGCTAACATATCATAATTAATAATTATATGACATACTAATTTAATATAATAGAATAATTATGTGATATATTTCATTATTACATTAATGATATGTCAACGTTATATAAATATAAAATAACAAGTGATATTTTTATTAATAATAATTAATTAATTATTAAATTTAAAAATTTATTTGATTAAAAGTAAAAATATAAAAATTTTATTAAATATAATAAAAAAATTAAATCTTATTTATATATTTTTAAAATAATTTAAAATTTTATTTAATTAGTATTCAAATTATTGAAAATGACTATCATTCATTGATGTAAATTTTCTACATTTCAATCATTTTTGATGTAACATAAACGTTCCGCACTTGATATTTATTGTTATGATGCTTTTAAAAAAACTATTATTATGATAATTGGATGATTTTCTCCCATTTGGTTAGAGAGTACAACGGGAGTAATCTACGTGGGAATTAACGAGGAGAGAGACGCGGTGACTTTTTCCACGTGACAGCTCAACACATTCGGGCGGGGAGCGATCGATGTATAAGTGTAACGTATTACGTCACTCTTTGTGAAGCGTACACAGGCAGACCCGTAACCTTTCTTTTACAAACCTAACCATTTCCCCCCTACCAAACAGACCGGTCTCCCTATTTGCCGGTCACCACGTGTTCCGTCCTTAACGGTGGGTACGAGGATGCGTGCACTACACGTCGGCATATCTCATTTGTGGACCTCGCCCTTCTCCTTATCCCCTGCCACCGACATCAACTCAGCATGTAGCAATCTGCATTTAATCACCGTTCGATATGACACAGATCAAGTTTTTTGGGATCCGTGGGCTATAGCTGCGGTGTTGCCGAGGATTTGAGAATTAAAGACGCGCAACCAATAAGAGAACTTTGACTTTGTTTTTTGTCTTTCTTTTTTTCCTGTTTCATTCTCGAGAAAGTCGTGAACTTAAAATCAAATGAGTAAAATAAATTTAGAAAAAAAAAAAATGTCGCCCCTTCTTTCTTTTTTATGATTGCACTCCATGTGAGTGGGTGATTGATGCAGTGGATGATGGATGTTTTATGTGCATGAATCAGAAAGTGCCCTGACAATCTGCCTTTGGCCCTCATGAAAAGATAAACATGGTTTTTTCTGTTTGTTTATTGCTTGTTTCGGAAAGTTGGTGAAATCTTTTCCAGAATTCCGTAGAAAATGTCTTTGCTGACACTTCTGAGTTGTGACTCCATATCAAAATCTACCCAAGATATCAAATCTATCAATTTGAGGACAAAATAATTTAAATATCTTCATTAAAGTCTAAGGAAGATACGATAGGACAATTAGCTTTCTCAAATAACTTTGTACATTTTCATGCTTTGGCTTCCGTACTTATCAAGATTTGGATAAAAAATGTAAAATATTATCCTATTGGCATTAGTTACAAAGTGTATGGAAGGATAACAATACGCACATTCAAAATAATTCAAAGAAAAAATTATACAGGAGTACTTGATTAATAATAATTGTATTTCGTTTAATTAGTTTTAAATTTTTTAATCTATATATATGTGTGTATATATAAAATGAAATGCATATTTTGATTTGATTTTCAACTTTTAACCTTCCATATATTTGCAAGGACAAGATTAGTGTAAGAAAAAGATTGCTTCAAAGATTATTAATCTCCAGCTCTTTTTGACCCTTCTTGCAAGTTTGTTGGTGTCCGTGAATGACTCGTCGTTTTACAATACCAATTTTTGTTGCTTAATTATTTTGCGAGTGATGATCACGTCATTAGCTTTACAAGAATCCAATCATATATGTTTAGCATGTTGCTATATAACAAATAAAACCAATCCACATGCAAGATAATACTAAAAACCCACGTTGATTTCTCCACTCGTGTCTTCCCCCACTCGGTTATTGTCATGTCATGCTCGTGCTACTCTTCTTTCCCAATTCATAAATGGGTCTAGTCTTCTGGGCCAGAAAATTATAATTGATTGTGGTAGCCCACTTTGCTTGGGCTAAGAATGCTGATCTATCAACAAACCCTGGCCACTCTCCCCCACAGTTTGTTGTTTTGATTGGTCTTAGAGTTGCGAAATGGAATTCCATCCCTAACCCAAATCACATTCACTCTCTATTTAATAATGAATCAATCACGATCAAGATAATAATTTAATCCATATAAAGTAGGGTTTGGTTCTCTCCTGGGTAAGCCACACGGCATCGCAATAGACTGTAGCATACTCTATGATTCTTCTTGTTTGCTAGTTATTTTGTAAATTATTCGTTTCAGTAATACATGTAGCCAAAAGCAGTGCAGCTTTCCAACCTTTACTTGGCTGTCGCCCACTACTCATGCTTACAGGTAAAAAAAAAAATGTAAAAAAAAAAAACAATATTAACCTGTCAAGGTGTACTAGGTAGAAAGATAGATGGATTATTATATTAATTTGAACATAACGATGATAAAATACATATGAATAACAATTCTTAACATTCTGCCTCTCAACTTTTAGGTGGGATCAGGGCAGGGCTAAAACTTAGTTGTCATTCTTTTGGAATGTTGGGTTGGAATTTTGTGGATTAGGTGAATCCATTCCAACCATCAACTTACCCTCCAAACTAATTCAAATACTACTACATTATTTTATTACTAGGAGTATATGGTTTTATGTATGATGATAAAAGAAAAACGATGGAATAATTAAGCCAAAATCATGTGAGGGGACAGGGGTGAGGTCTGCAGACGGAAACCATGGGGCAAGTTTTGGCTGCCTGCTTCCAAACCCACTTTATATTGCTTATTAATTGTACTCCATCAGTGCAGAAATTAAGCCAAATATTATGGTGGGTTCTGTTTAATTAGAGAAAATGCTTTGAATTTCAATGCAAATAATTGACTCTTTTCTTTGGGTGAATATGTATATTTTATCTTTACTTGCTGCTTTTTTTTTTATAATTTTACGTCATGTATTTTTAAACTTCTTCATATCAATATTTAAAGTTTAAAATTTTGAAATTTAAAATTAAAAGTTTAAAAATTAGGGTTTTTAGTTAATAATATAAAAACAAACATGTAACGCATAATTATGAAAAAATTTTACTAAACGAAACGTTAAAGGAGAACATTGACTATGAGCAGAATTTGGATGATATGATGGAACTATTGTTAAATTTTTGGGGCAGGGTCTTTGAGCATGATGGTGTGAATATATGTATCCAGGTTTATGCTACTCTCATTTCATTGATAAAGTACGTTTGCTTTATTGTCAAAAAGTTACAGAATAATTGTAGTGGAGCCGCTGCAATCACTCATGTCACGTGATAATTAAAGCAAATTAATTCATTAATGATTTGTTTGCCCACGACTTCTAGATGAGAGAGTAGGAGGGGAATTGTTGTGGTTGGGGCTCGTTAAGGGGGAGCACCTTTTTTCAGAGCAAAAAACTTCTTCATACCTAGAAAGTGATGATTTGAAGCAAATATTCTCTTTGATCATTTTCACATTATTATTTTTTGTTCAACTTCTTAAAACTATATACTAATCTTTGAATGGATATTTAACTTGTTAACCCAATAAGCATGCAGCACGATTATTAGTAAAAAGCTGCAACCTGAGTATTAACAAATGCTTGCAACTTTTTCGATTATCTTTCTTCAAATATATTTGATTTGACTATACAAATGAGCTTGGAAAGAGAGTGCATTTCAAGTAAGGATTCTCTGAGATATGAGGTGCCGGCTTTGATTTTGAAGAAGAAGGACATTTTCCAATGTGAGATAACAAAGCAAAATCCAAGTGGAGATAGATTTTTTGCTTGGGTTCCAGTTGTAGATAAAGAGACAGAGACAGGAAGTAGACACATACTATGTGAAATGCACTGCAATTGTGTTATGGTGGAGGGTCAAAGAGCAGATAGAACTAGTGATTATTTCGAATATATGTCCAAAATTGACGATTGAAATTGAATTTCGACCCAAATGTGGAGCTTGATCCAGAGCACCCAATGACAATGTTTCCCACTTTGATAAGGAAGTTTCTTTTCTGAGACAGCTAGACCTCACCATCTGCAAAGACCCAGTCAGTCATTGCATTAATCTCCAGTCTCCAACTTATCAGAAAGAACACCAAACTTTGACCCCCAAAAGAAATGCATATGGGGGGTGCATCATTTGCATGCCCACCATGATGTCGTTCTGTTTTTGAGAAAGCTTCGTACTGCCATTGATCAATAACGGGGCCCATTGATAAAACAATGAGCTTATTTTTGTCACTCGGGGTGAAGCAAAGCTTGGTTGTGTATGGTTAAACAGTCCGAACTATGCAAAGAAACGAGCACCGCAGTAAAGATTAAAGCAACAAACTCCATCACCAAGAATGCAAAGAAGCAAACGCAAGCAAACCAAAGGGTGTTGGACCATGTAAGGATTCCCATTTTCAGCAATCACCGCATTAGCCAATGGTGATATTTATGACTATCTGAGTCAGAAGTCCGTGTTGATAAATTATGCAGTCAACCCCATAAGCACTTTAACACATTTAACACCGTTAACTGTTCGCCTTTAAACCCCAACGCCGTTAACTTCCACAATCCTACTTCACCAATCTATGAACTTTGCAGTCCCTCGGAGATAAAAAGAAGACCTAGTAACCACTCCTCTTTCTCTCCCTCGCCTCGCACCCATAAAGATAAAGTCAAGCATAATACAATTTTTTCGCATGTCGGCCTTCACTGTGCCCCCCCTCCTTTCTTCTCCTCTCTCTCTGAGCATGGAATTGCAAAGAAGTGCAAAAGACGTCGATGCTTGAAGTGAAGAAATGGAAGTTTTTGGCAGATTGTTGCTTCTCTTTTCCCTGGTGGTAGCGGTACAATCTACGTGCAACAGTACCGACTACGGACTGGTTTCTAAAGTTTTTAAATCTGTCTCTGGATTCAATATCTCTTGGTTGAAATCCCAGGACGTGAACTGCTCATATCCTCCAATAAAGGTATTGAAGCTTTCTTCAAGGAATTTGACTGGTAACGTTTCATGGAAATTTCTCAGGAACATGTCGCAGTTGCACACGATTGATCTCTCCAACAATTCCCTTCAAGGTTCCGTTCCAGGTTGGCTTTGGTCTGTTCATACGCTGGTTGAGGTCAATCTGTCCAAAAATAAGTTTGGAGGGACTATTGGGTTTGAACCCACCTCGGGAAATGGTTCGTCTTCATCGATGCGGGTGCTAAACCTTTCAGCTAACAGGTTCACCAACTCGGTTAAACTCTCTGGTTTTTCCAAGCTTCAATTTCTCGATCTTTCGCACAATGATCTTGGTACTGTTCCCTCTGGGTTCACCAATCTTACCAAGCTCGAGCACCTTGATGTTTCAAGTTGCAAGATTTCCGGCAGCATAAAGCCCATTTCAGCTCTTCATTCATTGAAGTACTTAGATGTGTCAAACAACTCCCTGAATGGTACTTTCCCTTCTGATTTCCCTCCAGTCAATAGCCTAAAGTTCTTAAACATTTCGCTCAACCACTTCACCGGTTCAGTTGGCTTTGACAAGTTCCATAGATTTGGCAAATCTGCTTTTATTCACGGTGGAAATTTCGTTTTCAATACTTCAAAAAGAACACCAAGCAATCACTCTAGAACTCACTCCTTGACCCCAAATCACAAAGTCTTTCGCAAACATTTACCCCTCAAAACACACAGAAAAAAACATAAAGCCAACTCAAAGACCAAAGCTCTGGTCATTGGTTTGTCATGTGGTTCAGGGTTTCTTCTTGCTTCACTCGTGTTTTGCTTCTTCTGTACATATAGAAGAAAAAAACTCGCGAGGAGAAACAAATGGGCAATCTCCACACCGGTTCAACCAAATTTCAAGATGGAAAAATCAGGGCCATTCTCTTTCGAGACAGAATCAGGCTCATCGTGGGTAGCAGACATCAAAGAACCAACTTCTGCACCAGTGATCATGTCCTCCAAACCATTGATGAACTTGACCTTCAAGGACCTGATTGCTGCCACGTCACACTTCGGCAAGGAGTCCGTACTCGCCGAAGGCAGATGTGGACCCCTTTACAGAGCTATCCTCCCAGGTGACCTCCACGTGGCAATCAAAGTCCTTGAACATGCCAGAGATATTGATCGTGATAACGCTATGGCCATGCTTGAAGACCTTTCCAGGCTGAAACACCCTAACCTGCTGCCTCTCTCCGGTTATTGCATTGCAGGTAACTGTACCAAAATTGTTATTATTACATCTCTGGTATTTGACTCAACAAAGGTTATGGCATTAAATAGCCTCACGGGTTTGTTTGAAAATTTGAAAACATCAGTCGGCTGTCGTACTCCATAGACTGCGTGGCCTCTATTGTCACGTAAATCTAGCGCATGCCATCATTACATATATTGACATTCGTGAATTTTGGCGGTTCTTTGGGATCCCATGCATAGCGTTTTCTGCTACGGCATTAACTATCAATTGTTTTTTTTCTTTTAAATATCTAGTACGGCATCCTTTGACAACAAAATCTTTGATGTTTATATTTTTTCGGTTTTTTTAACCGTTCTTTAAGGTAAGGAGAAGCTGGTATTATATGAATTTATGGCAAATGGGGATCTGCACCGTTGGTTACACGAGCTTCCAACGGGGCCATCCAACGTGGAGGATTGGAGCACCGACACGTGGGAATATCACCACGGAGCAGGGTCCCAGACTTCTTCGCCGGAGAAAACCAACTGGCTCACGCGCCACCGCATCGCAGTCGGAGTTGCTCGTGGGCTCGCCTACCTCCACCACGTAGGTTCCAGCCATGGCCACCTCGTCGCTTCCAATGTCCTGCTGTCCGACAACCTCGAACCTCGGATATCGGATTTCGGGATTAGGAATATCGGGTCTAAAATGGAAAGGGATGATAAAAAAGACGAAAAAAACGCGGAAATGGATGTTTATAGTTTTGGTGTTGTGTTGCTGGAGCTTTTGACGGGGAAGCAGGGGACGGAGGAGAACGTGACGTGGGTGAGGAGGCTAGTGAAGGAAGGAGTCGGGGTCGACGCGCTTGACTCGAGGTTGAGACTCGGTGGTGAATCAGAGACTGAGATGGTGGAGAGTCTCCGAGTAGGATACTTGTGTACGGCGGAGTTGCCTGGGAAAAGGCCCACTATGCAGCAAGTTATCGGTTTACTGAAAGACATACATCCAGCAGTTGATTTCAACTGATTTCATGGGTAAAAAAGTAACAGCCACGCCCCAATACTCTTCCGAGGTTACAAGCACGCGCTGTGAAAATACATGAGAAATGAAATGAAGTTAATTTTTGGAAAGGACCATGCCTTGGTGTCTCTCGATTTGGATTTTTTTGATTTTTGCTTTTGCGGTGTATATAAAAGACAAGAATTTAAGGCTTTAAAAATTGAAAAAAAAAAAGAAAAATGGGCCCAAAAGGAAAGGAAAAATGAAAAAGAGAGAAAAATATATATATACACAAAAGGAGGTAGGGTAATCTAAAAGAGGGCAGAGAATCCCACTCATTGCTTGTCTCTTCTCATGGGGACCCTGCATCATCTCCATGCTTTTAATTTCTCTTCTTTATTCCTTTATTTCAATATTTGAAATACTTATTTTATGACTTTTCTTTATCGCTTTTTTCTTTTTCTCTTCTGTCATGATTATCCCTTTCATTTTGGAAAAGTAAAATGTGATAAATGGTGCCACAATCTCATGAATCATTATCAATGTCAATATCAGCAGCCACGCGTACGAGCCGCCTCTGAGGGGATGCTTTCAAGCGTGGAAGAACAGTTTTTGGCCTTGTGTTTGTATATCAATCAATGATGTAGTTTTTGTGGCTTCAAATCTACAGTCGGCATGTTGCTCTGAAGACAGGATGATAGATTAGGAAAGGAGATGTTTTTGAGTCAAATTTGTGGGCTATTCCTGTCCCCTGGCAGTGGCAAATCCAATGTCAACATCTGGTTTAGTGGGATGAACACGTTCATAGTTTATTCTGTGGAATTCCCTTCATGTCTACCAGACTATGCAGTAGAGCTTACAAAAGGTTTACAGATGAAAACATTCAAACAAGGAGAACGAAACAAGCTTTATTCAGTACTTGGAAAAGTTTGTATGCGATGTATAGGTCATCGTGGCATAGAATGGTCTAAAGACCTGCCAAAAGTGCTAAAACAAAAACAAACAGATATTCATGTATGACTGCTGTAGGGGCAAAGCTACCTTGATAAAGAACAATACATCGAAATGTCACTGTCTAATTTTGTTTAGAGTCTTTCTCTTAACGTAATCGATCCTCACATGAAAAGTTTTTAACAGTCCATGGAGTCCTCTGGGTGTGAAAGATCTGAGAGTTGTAATTTTCTCATCTTTTTTTTTTTCTAGCTGAAAGTTCATTGGAAGTACATGACATGAGATGCAAAAGGAAAAGACAAAGGAAGCTTCAATGAGACTTTCTTTTGTTTGTTTGCTTGTTCCATGTGTTTCTTTTTCTTGAGAATAGCAAAAGGAAATAGCCATGGACGTTTAGAGGAAAAGAGATGTGTGGAAATACTGCACTGAAACTCTTGGTTGTTTCTGAATTTGGGTTTGGGATCGACTCGCTTTAACTGTAAAGGTTGGTAAGCTTGTTAAAGCTAATTATAAAGCATATGGTCTAAGTTGGCAGTACCTACTTAGAGACATAGCAAAGTGTAAGTATGACAGCCATATATGTACAGTTATGGAGGTCCAATGCAAGGGGAAGTTTTGTCATCCAATCATTCAGCTTCAGTCTTTTTCCACTCAATAAAGGTAAAAGGAGCCGTTTGGGTTGGGCTGCTAGCTCGATACATTTCACATTGTCCAAGAAAGGTGGGCCATCGGATTCAAACAAAGCCGAAGCCTCACTCTTCTTGAAGAGCCCATGGTTTTCTAAAAAACTATGCGGTTGATTTGTTTGTTTGGACTCTAGCCCACTTTGAGATCCAGATTTCAGCCCAGAGCGTCGAATCCCGATTTCACTCGCATTTCGAAAATCAGCCCCACATTGCCCCGTCCACCACCCCGCTCCGCACATTATTGGCATTGCGGCGATATCAGCCGATTCCGGAAAACTAAAGCCCCAACTCTTCAAATCCAAAGCCCTAATTCAATATTAGTTTCACCAACATCCGATTCAGTTCTAAATCCGCCAAAATCAGGAACCCTAGACTCCATGGCGTCGAGGAAGAAAGAATCCGAAGGAATTGCCTTGCTATCCATGTACAACGACGAAGATGATGAAGAAATGGAAGACGCCGAAGAAGACGACTATCAACAGCATCAACAAGGTATAGAAGAAGAGCAACAACCAGAACAAGAAAACGAGTACAAAGGATCAAACATGGAAGAAGATGCGAGAACCAATGATGATACGCCGCCGTTTCCTTACCAAACCTCCACTCCTTCGCAACAACCGCCTCAGCCGTCTGTTTCTTCGCCGCAGCAACAGCTGCGAGTGGTTTCTTCGAAGAGAAGTGATAGAGGAAGGCTGACCATTGTTGATTACGGCCATGATGAAGCTGCCATGTCACCGGAGCCCGAGGTAACCCCTCTCCGCCGCTCCAAAGGCAGGGTCTGTTTTGTGAATTCTTTGATTTTTTAATGACGTGTGGTTTAGATTGATTTTCTTGTTCAAGTGCAGGAAGGGGAATTAGGAAGTAGTATAGAGCATCAAATTTCTAATGGTACTTATTTATTTCTCTCTTTTTTTCTTAATTTGATTAATTTAACTTAAAATGTTACTCACGAAATAGCTAGCTTTCTAATTTAGTATTTGTTTGCAGGTGAGTTTCAAGGAAAAACGCCACCAGCAGCTGTTCAGGTGACTCCGCAATTATCCAATGTAGAACCATCACAACCTGAGACCATGAACAATGCTGTGACCGAGTCAGAATGTGTAGAAGTTGAGGAACCTGTTGCTGTAGAGAATGTTGATCCGTTGGATAAGTTTCTTCCACCGCCACCGAAAGCCAAGTGCTCTGAGGAGTTACAAGTAAGTGTTTTTCATTCGCTAGCGGTCAGTAATTCTAATTCTTTGGACCTTATATAAACAGCCTGACCTGAACCCTGCATAGTCCTGTGTTAACCACGTGGATGCTATAATGTTGAGATGGACTGAAAATGTTGTGTTGGAACTGTGTGCTATTTATGAGACATGAAATGGGGTAAGTGTAGCTAAGGCATTTGTTTTTGCTATATGAAGATTTTGCTGATACTCAAGACGGTGTAAGTTGTAGATGCAGCTCTTTTTAATTCTGGTTTTCATGGGGCTGAGTTAGGTTTGTCTAATTTATAGCCTGGTTTGCTTTGAACTTCATTTGGTTTTTAGTTAATTTCAATGTCAGTTATCCCCACTCTTTGCTTCTGACTGAAAGATAGGTAGCTCATGATATTGAATCCTTAGACATGTAGTGGTTGTTGTTCACCTTTTGTTCTTTTAAGCTGAATGAGCGTATCTCTTGTTGACACAATTTAAATGATCTAAACGATGTTCCTTTTGTTTTCAGTTCTATATTATCATGACCTTCAGGTCTTTCTGTCATGTTACTGCAGAGGAAGATAGATAAATTTCTCCTTTTGAAGCGAGCTGGAAAAAGCTTCAATGCAGAAGTTCGTAATAGGAAGGATTATCGGAACCCTGACTTTTTGCTGCATGCTGTGAGGTATCAAGATATTGATCAGATAGGATCTTGCTTCAGTAAAGATGTATTTGATCCTCATGGATATGACAAAAGCGACTACTATGATGAAATAGGTTATAACATTTCCTTCTATAATTCTCTCCCTTATCTATTGAAAACACTGACCATGTTTTAATGACATTGAATATATTCAAAGTATTAACTGTTGAATTTTACTTTCTTTTAATTGTTTTCATCAATGCTTTTGCTGTTGATCCCATTAGGCTTTCTCATTCATTTTAAAATTTTTTTTTTCTGTATACCTGTTTGTTTAATGCAGAGGCTGATATGAAACGGGAAAGGGAGAGGAAGGAACAAGAAAGCAAGAAGAATCAAAAGGTCGAATTTGTATCTGGCAGTAGTCAACCCGGAGCAGTTCTTACTGCCCCAAAAGTTGGCCTGCCTATGGCAGGTGGATTTTATTTTTTTTGTGGCTAATATCTTCTCATATCAGTGTTTTTAGTACAAGATCTTGTGATGGTGTTCTTATATTGAGTGATATTGAGGTGTTTCAGCTGTGGCTGCTGGTGGCTTGCCTTCTGCTCCAACTGCAGTTGATAACATTGTGCGGGAGGGTAGACAGAACAAGAAATCAAAATGGGATAAGGTTCTAACCTGTCTATGCAGCTCTCTCACAAAAAAGATATCTGATATAGTCACTATCTCATTGTTTAATTTAAATTCCAGGTGGATAGTGATAGAAGAAATCCTCTTCCTGTTGGGGCGCAGGATTCTCTATCTACTGTAGGAGCACATACAGTTCTGTTATCAGCTGCTAATGCTGGAACTGGGTACACAGCTTTTGCGTAAGTCCCACAACTTGATGGAAAATTGTTATCATCTTCCCTCCTTGATTTCATGCATTTTCCAACTGGACTAGAGTTTCATCTTCACGGCTACATGGTTTTAGTTATTAAAGGAAGCAACTTAGAGCTAGTACTTATTGCTTATTAATTCATTTTGTTGGTAAATGGCAGGCAGCAAAAACGGCGAGAGACAGAAGAGAAGAGATCCAGTGAAAGGAGGTTGGACAGAAGATCTTGAGCTGATCCTTTTTAGTTATTGGAAGAGTATTCCCAAAAACTTTTTTGAGGCTAAACAACATTCTTCCGTGTTTTTCTACCTGTCTCATGCCAACAGTAAAATTTATACAATTACATTGTACCTTGTAGATCACTTACCTAATTGTAACTCTCATATTGAAGCTTTAGTAATATAATGCTTGCTTTGATCAGCCTGTCCTTTCTCTCTCTCTCTCTCTCATGTCAAGAGCTGAATTTTTTTTTGCTGGATTTTCAGTCTGACAGTGAACACTCCGAGGGAAATCCTGTAAAAGTTTGTCTTGTGAAAGAGAAATATCCTTTGATTGATGGCAGAACTCAGGACAATATTTTGGGAAAACAGCTGTTACGAACGGATCCCTTGTTCATCTCACGACTAACCTTTTAAGACTTGTCCAGCTGTATTGAGAAGGTTTAATTTAAACCTTTGCTCGCCAGCTTTCACGCAGCAACCTTGACCCATCTTCATGATAAAGTTAAAATGCCGAAACAGCATGCATTCTTATTTGCTAACAGGAAAGATCGGAGCCATCTTTTTGCAGTATTTAAAGCATTTAACAGATCGGATTCCCTTTCACAAAGTCAAAATCAACACTTTATAGTCACTTTGCTAGTCGTAACCGAAAGGAATGCTATAATTCAAATGGGGGTATAATAACCCACATTGTCTTCTTCATCAAGCACAGTCTTGCTTTTGTACTCACATGGCTCTCTCTAGTCTCTTGGATGATGTTTTTCACTCATAATGGGAGGCAGTTCGTTTCAATTTACTCTTGGGTGCTACTCCGGTCATCTACAAGAATCAAAAAGCTTTTTGCCTTCCTGTCGACAAAATTATCCTTGATTCTGACCAGCTCTTTGTCCTATGCCGTGAAAGACATGAATTTCGATGATTGCATGATCTGAATCCCTATTATCCTCGTACGATATGTCGTGGCCTTTGATACCAGTTTATGTACCTTTTTTCCTCTAGTGAGATATGCTTCCATCTGTTATTTCTCTCACGCCATGCTATTAGGTGGTGCGGTGCGTTTTGTATGTTTGTCTCTGTGTGGAACTTAAACTAGTCAATTAGTAGACGCCGACTGGTCTTTGTATGAATCTGATATGCTCCCTCTAGTATGTCCTTTTGGTGTAATATGACACATAGATTGGTTTCCCCCGTCATTCGACCTCTTTTTGTCTTGAATCTCGGATATCTTTTGAGCATTAAAGCTTTAAAGCTTCTGGGGGCTCTGCCTAACCAACAACGCTTTTTCCTTTCAGACTTTGGAGCTTGGGGTATCATCAGGCAAGATAAAAACATATCAGTGATGTTGAGAGTGGGATTTGAACCCACGCCCTTTCGGACCAGAACCTTAATCTGGCGCCTTAGACCAACTCGGCCATCTCAACGTTTATGCCCTGAAACAGGCTTCCCAGCTGTAGCCAACGAAAATAGTTAAAAGCATGCAGGCTGTAGCCGATCCCTTTCGCACTCTTTTTCAGGTAAAGTGGACCCAAGTTGACATGTTCGACACTGAATTCCCGTACATTTACATAAAGCCTGGTGTCCAGCGAGAGATTGACGACTCACCTGAAGAAATATATAAATATACAGATTGCAGAGCCATGTCTCTTTTCGAATTACTGCTCCCATCCTTTTCTTCTACAATTTGATTCCTTCATCTCACTCGTGGTTGAAAGTATAATCTAACATTCAAATAACAGAATGTCTCTGCACTAATATTTTCCTCTTCCTCTCATTGCCTAAGACCAAAAAGAAACGTATGCAATCATAAAGGTTTTCAGTCTGGACATGTTTAATACTGTAATGCTACCACCTATGACAGTACCGGCTATATCCCACAGTAGAAACCAAAAAAAAAAGAACGAATGGGAAGTGCTTTGCTTTATTTCCACTCCCTGCATTCTTTTTTGTTTTCTTTTCCTTCTTAAAGCCATATGATAAAATTGTAGTACTATTTATTTATTTGAAAGTTGATTGGTTGGTCAGTTAGGTGTGGCAGACACAGAGAGAGGGAGAGAGAGAGAGAGAGAGAGAGAGGCATAAACAGCATGAAATTTGCTGCCAAAATTGCAGGTAAAAGTGAAAAAATGAGCAAATATATAGAGAGGGAGGGGTGGTTTGGGCTCAAAGATCTATGCTGCTTGTCTTGGCATCAAATTAGAGACGTTGGAGAATCGTACACTGTTCCCCCTCCCCCCCCCCCACGTTGGGGCCTAGTCAGATCCTTCTTTATTTAAACCCTAATTTAACATCCTCAGAAAAGATGAAAAGAGAACTAAAAAGGTGAACAGCTTATCTCTCTCTAAAGATCACTATAGCCCAATTGATGTATAGCAAGTAGCAAACCAACGGTTCAGAGGGCATTCCAAAGCTAATGCGTTACTTTTATAAGATCATCATCCACTTAAACTCTTTTTTGACTGAAAAAAAATGCCCCCACCTTTCCTTTTTCTCTCCTTTCAAGGCAATAAAAAAACTATAATAAAAATTACAAACAACTGCAAAAGGGGAAAACCATTCTCACTTTATGACCAAAACAGAATTAAATTCCAGTTTCTTGCATGCAATTTGCTGTTATTACCCTGGCTGAGGTAAACAAAATCCGGGACATGCATTAAAGAAAGTTGAGTTGTAATATTTATTATTTATGAGCAAAGGGACCAACGGTAACATCGGGTTTGGCAGGTTGCTTAAGGGGTAATTTGGGGATAACAGAAAAAGTTAACGGAACTTTTTAGTATATAAATCAAAAGCAGGGAAAAAAAAAAAGGAAAGAGAGAGAGAAAAAACTGACTCTACAGTGTGAGTAAAGGGCAGTGCAGGCTGAGGGGAAGAAAGCTTCTATAGTGGGCGGCAAAGTGCCTAATTTTTCATTGCTTTCTCACTTCGATTCTAGTCTCTATACAACCCGTTTTTCTCAGTCTCTCTTTTGCTTCTCTCTCTCTCTCTTCTTTTTTTTTTTTCTATAGCATTAATTGATTCTTTTATCTCGCTCTTTCAGTTTCTTCTGCTTTTCTTCTCCTTGTTGATTCATTACACACTAAAGCTAAAAGGTTTTGAGTGGATATTCACCTGTTTTTTTGCTCTGGTTTGAGCTTTACCTATCGATTCTTTGATTCATTTGGTGAAGACCCAGTTGAGTTTAGAGGGTAAAAAGCAGGTGTTTAAGCTATGGCAGCTCCGAAACCTGAAGAAATAAGCCACCCACCAATGGACCAACTTCAAGGCCTAGAGTACTGCATTGACTCAAATCCTTCCTGGGGTGTGTCCATTTTTAAATCTTTTTCAGCGTGCGTTTTTTTGGTTTCTTCTGCGTTTGTAACGCTCTCTTTTGCTTGTGGAAGCAGGGGAGGCTATAGCTTTGGGGTTTCAGCATTACATTTTGGCCTTAGGAACTGCTGTGATGATCCCTTCTTTTCTTGTTCCTTTAATGGGAGGAACTGATGTATGTCACTTTGACTTGTAATGATAATAGTCTTCATTGATTCTCTTCTCTTTACTTTTCCTTTCATCAGGAGCTTGGGATATTCACTAGCCAACTTATTTGATTCATCCATGAACCAAACAAAACAAAAATGATAATTTTCAACTTTTATTGTTTGTTATTTAACATGAATTTTTCATTTTGATGGTTTAGGATGATAAAGTAAGAGTGGTGCAGACACTGCTATTTGTTGAAGGGATCAATACACTTCTACAGACACTGTTTGGGACTCGACTACCTACCGTGATTGGGGGGTCTTATGCCTTCATGGTTCCCATTATATCAATAATTCACGATACTTCCTTGACGAGTATCGAGGACAACCACGTGGTGAGTACAATTCTATGGCCGGTTTGCCCTATCTTCCTACTTTGTAACAGTTGCTTTTTTCTCATTAAGTTCAATCTTGTTGTGGAAAATGAGAGTCCTCGAGGACTAATGTCAATATCTGTGTGACCCACTAGCCCAGTTGGATTTAATTTTTATTAACTAATCAGATCTCGTATGGATTTTGTAATGCTAGCATGCACCCAAGTCTTCAAATGAGTCACATCAGAGTAATTGTGATCCTGCCTTTGCCTATACCGTTTGGCTTTATTGATAAATCTAATAAGCACATGAAATTATCAACATGGTGCACCATGCTTCTCTCATGTCTCCTAAACCAAACAAAACTTTAATTGGAGACATATTTTATACAAGCTTCAGGAGACTTTATTAGTTGGACTGGGTGGCACCTAGTATTTCAGACTACAGAATAAGACGTGGTAACTCAATATTAGTTGGTCTTATGTATATGCAGAGATTTCTAAACACCATGAGAGCTGTCCAAGGTGCACTAATAGTAGCATCAAGCATACAAATTATTTTGGGATACAGTCAGATGTGGGCCATTTGCTCCAGGTGCAACTTTGATCTTAAATAAATTCTCAGTGTCAAATTTCAGGAAACACAATTTGAGAACTATTTACTGAATGTACCTTTTTCCTCTTCAGGTTCTTCAGCCCCCTTGGAATGGTTCCAGTTATTGCACTAGTGGGCTTTGGCTTGTTTGACAGAGGCTTCCCTGTGGTATAATATAGAACCTACGACGCTAATTTGATTTCTTAAGTGAGAATTTCCTCTTGTCTTTTTCACTCCTGTAGTTTTATGAACTCTCTATCAGGTTGGTCGCTGCGTGGAAATTGGCATCCCAATGCTTATTCTATTTATAGCGTTTTCTCAGGTACAGCTATTTATTCTAGGAATATAGCGTACAGACTAACATTTTTGCACTAAAAGCAGTTATGTCAAAGGGAAAGGCAAAAGGTGGTTGCTAGAACAAGTGGCTTGCATATTGTATCTAATCGGTTTTAACGATGAAAGACTACACTCGCAAAGTGTCTTCATCTGTTTCAAAATGCATTTGGATTTCCATAGTCAGATTCTAAGTTGCAAGTCACATTCATGTAATACAAAACATATGCCATATAGTTGATTCTTTTGTCTATTCTGTTCTGTCAAAAACAGTACCTGAAGAATTTCCTGACAAAACAACTGCCAATACTGGAGCGGTTTGCTCTCCTCATATCAATCACAGTAATATGGGCATATGCTCATCTCTTGACAGCAAGTGGTGCATACAAACATCGTCCGGAATTAACCCAATTAAATTGCAGAACTGACAAGGCCAACCTCATTTCTTCTGCTCCATGGTTAGTACTAAAGCTGTTTCCTACCAGTTGAATTATCCATGCTGAGACAACATAAAACAATTTAAATTTATGAGAGAGAGAGAGAGTATAGAAAATTGAATCCAATTGAATTCTTAGTGTATTACCTACCTGACTGAAATTTTTTCGATCAGGATAAAGATACCTTATCCTCTACAGTGGGGTGCTCCTACTTTTGATGCTGGCCATGCTTTTGGAATGATGGCTGCGGTTTTAGTCTCATTGATTGAGGTACTGCTCCTGAAAACTAGAAAATAAATTAAATAGATGTATTTAATTAGTAACTCAAAGCTAATAATATTTCCTTTGGCAGTCAACCGGAGCTTACAAGGCTGCCTCACGCCTAGCCAGTGCCACACCACCTCCAGCGCATGTTCTTAGCCGTGGCATTGGTTGGCAAGGCATTGGGATCCTTCTGGACGGATTATTTGGAACGCTGACCGGTTCAACAGTCTCTGTGTAAGCATCTTTGCTTTTGCTCTGAAAAATTCTCTCTTTTTGCAAATATACTAATTCCAGGAAAAACAACAGAGAAAATGTGGGCCTTCTTGGAAGTACTCGCGTTGGAAGCCGCAGAGTCATTCAAATCTCTGCTGGCTTTATGATATTCTTCTCGATACTAGGTGAGTGACAACTTACTAAATAGGCGATTCTCTAGAATCTCTGTCTGTCATGGTTTCTGGCATTGACTTAAGAGTTGATTTCTTTCATCTTTGCAGGAAAATTTGGAGCTTTATTTGCATCGATACCTTTCACCATATTTGCTGCCGTGTATTGTGTTTTGTTTGGTCTCGTTGGTGAGTATCACAATATCATTTTTGTACAAGTCAAACTCCTTTTGCGGAATCTATTATTAGCTATGTTGTTTTGCTTCTAAGTCCTAACTATTGTTCTATTTATTTGCTTTCAGCTTCGGTGGGGCTGTCCTTCTTGCAATTTACAAACATGAACTCCATGAGGAACCTCTTTATCACTGGTGTTGCCCTGTTCTTAGGTTTGTCTGTTCCTGAGTACTTTAGAGAATACACCGCCAAGGCTCTTCATGGTCCTGCTCATACCAGGGGTGAATGGGTGAGTTAAATGTCCCTGTGGCACTTCTTATTTACCTCCTCTTCTGATAAACATAGCCTTGACTTCTTCTTCTTTGGCGTGCAGTTCAACGATTTCCTTAACACCATCTTCTTTTCATCCCCAACTGTTGCATTAATTATCGCTGTATTCCTAGACAATACACTCGACTATAAAGACAGTGCCAGAGATAGGGGAATGCCATGGTGGGTTAAATTCCGTACATTTAAAGGAGATAACCGGAATGAAGAGTTTTACACACTCCCTTTCAACCTCAATCGTTTCTTCCCACCATCATAAATCGTCATCATCAAAGAGATGCAAGGAAAGAGCACTGCTTCCAGAAAGACATACGTGATGATGATCACAGCCTTTGGTGAAGGACTAAACGGGGTTTCATGTGTTCTACATTTCTGAGAAAGGATCTCCCATCATCGGTCCTATGTATATTTTGACTTTGGATTATTCTGGTTTAATCCAATTAGTTATTAAATTAAGCAAATCTTTTTGGGTGTAATTTCAAACAGAGCTTGCTGCTTTTGAACAGTTTTTGCAAAAGTGAATTTGCAAGAACTCTGCAAATTCAGATGTAGCAATGCACTTTGAGGAATGACAGTTATCTCTAAATCAACCAGAATCCGTGTCTAAGAAACCAAGGTGTGTTTACCAGTTTCTTTATAACAACGTGTTCCTAATGGAAAAATATATATATAAACATTGAAGGAAATTGTGAGAAATGGTCATCCTCAGTAAGGTAGTTTTATTAGCGATGAAATATTATTGTACATAAAAAATGGAAAGAACAACCCACCCTTTTGACCTTTAGTGGAGGAGGAGATTCAGGATGAAGAAGACAAAAAAGAATAATAAGTGTATACACCTGAGTATATCAGCACAAGATGGCATGACTCATGCAAAGTCAAACGCAGCCATCCTACTGAGATCTGCACATGCATTCTGGGCACCTTGGCTGTCGATAAATACTTCGACCAGAACCCCTCACCCGCACTCTTTGACCTTCCTCGATCATCTTTCTTACTCTGTCTTCAAAAATATTCCATCCTATTGTGCTATTCTCCGACAAAATTGCGGCTAACCTCTTCTTGTTAGGCCGCAAGGTTGGAGCATGTCCATCACCATAGTATGTTCGGAAACCAGATACCAGGGATGATAGTTGGCTTCCAGAGTCTGTCATGGCAAAGACATCTGAAGTTGCGCACGCAATAAAGTCTAACGCTGCCAGCTGCATCCAAGGCAAAAAAATTTTCTCCAAAAGTTGTTTAAGACATGGTAGAATTGTAAGAGAAAAAAATGTTACAATTATTAAAAAATTGTTTAATCCTAACATACCTGAGAAGAGAAATTTCTGAAGGGAGCAAGTTCATTGGTCGTAAGCAATGTTTCCTTGGTGACCAAATTAGGGTACAAACTGGTAAAGGGGTGCATCCTGGAACTTCCCCCATATATATGAGAACCTGCAAGATAAATATAAGTTTCACGCTTAAAACCAAGAGCAGCAAGAACAAGTGCTGCTTCTTCAGGTGTCAATGGGCATCTCCCCAACTTCCTCAACTCCACTGGGGAAACAGGCCTACAAGCATCAATTGTAGAAAGAACAGATCGGCTAAGTCGAATATGTGCATGAAAACAATATCAGGTAAAATCACAATGCCAGAAGACAGGTACGCCCATACTTCGAGTTCTTTAAGCGTTCGATGAGCAGAGGAAAATGGACCCCTCTGTAGGCTTGAAGCTCCTTTTGCTCATATTCTCCGCCTCCAAAATCACAAAGGGAGTATGCCACCATATCCTCTTCAAATCTCAAGTGTAAGGCAAGATATTTGAATGGGCCTCTTGCAGCATTATGCTTTTTGGAGGAAATACGGGGTATGAAATCTCCAAGCAGTTGTTTATCCAGCTGACGCTTTGCAGCATAGTATTTCCTTATCCTTTTGATTAACAGTGAACCGACTTCTTGAATTTTTGGCACAAACTTTAATGCATGGAAGTTACATTTACACCTCAGTCTCTGCAATGGACCAAAGTATATCACCTAAGTATAACTCAAAGAACAAGATTATTAAGGGCTTCAGAAGCTAACATAATCAAATGTATGTGCTCCATTCTAATATTGCCTGCTCATCTGTGGAGAATGATATATACAATGATGATTTAGTGGCTCCTAAAAATTCACTACCCCAATTGCTTGTTTTCTCCTGGTTGAGTCCTAAAGAATAGTTCATGTTGAGGTAAGAAACATATAAATTTTGATAGCAATGTTTGTAAATTGAGGGGTTAACAATTCTTATTGAGTCTTGCTCTTGGTTTCTTCACTACCTTGTCATTTGAAACATAGATGGGAATGGGAGGTGCTACACCCTTTCTGCCAGGAATACACACTCAAGAAATAAGCCTGTGGAGAAGGGGAGGGTAGTATCTAGGAAGATTCTGACGGTTCCATGATTGGAAGATACCCCTTGAGATAGAAGTCCTATCGCACGACTATCTATCCTGAAATAATTAAACGTGCAAGGAATATGATCACGGACCTGGAGGTCAGGAGGCAATGGATCAAAGCCAAGTCGATTGCCAAATCCAAGGAAGTGAACAACTCTGTTCTGCACAAGGAGGGGAAGTACACTTCTGATGTAATCATTGGGCTTTGCTTCCTTCTCAATATCTGCATCAGTAATCTGTTTTGAGGCAACAAAATAGAAAAACAAGGTTAGAGGTTTAAGATTTTCCTGATAACTGAAGGCAGGCTTTCAATGCAAATATAGAAACTTAGAAGACAACGTACTAGGCTACCAATGACTTCAATATCTAAGGACTTCAAATGGGGAGGAAGTTCCTTTACAATATCAATGTCATCCTGCAAGATGCGCATGAAATAGTCCTCTTGATAGATGTCACCAAACTGGCTGCACTTCCATTGAATATCACTATTAAGTATGTTGTTGATTATCTATTGCATAAACATATGGAAATAAAAACAATGGGAAAAATTTGAAGGCATCAACTTGAGAATAAAGATTTGCCAATTTCATCAAAGGAGATTAATAAAAACAGTCTGAAACAGGAATGCCAAACAAAGTGTGCTGAACAATAAAAATTAACAGAAACTAGAAGATATCTTTGACTGTGTGAGACTAGATTTCACACCTGGGATCCTTCCATACATTGCTGTAAAGAAATTTAGGAAGAACCAGGGTTGCATTAAGTAAAGATGCCACGGCAACTGCATTGCAAATCTGAAGACAATAACAACAATGTTACAATGCAAATAACAGGAAGAATGAATGCAGGAGTGCAGGAAGATCAAATAGAGATTGTAAACATGTTGATAGGTGCTTGTCTTGCTAAATGAAAGAGTGAGCAGAATGCTTTTGTCATATAAAGAATTGTTTATGGAATCATCAGAGCAATCTGGTCTGAAAAGCTGTGTGCAATTTGCTGGGGATGCCACTTAATGACAGATAACTCTACCTTTCAAGAACTCACTGGTGAATTTAGTCATTGAATACAACTTTGAACTTCCCTAATGAACAATGAAAAGAAGGAGATCAAAAGGCAAATCACACACTTACAGCTACTCGTTGTTGATTCAGACCACCATTTGCACTGACCAATATATAGCCGTTGCTTTTTTCAGGCTTCCCTGTCTCAACAACGAAAGTCAAAGGACTTAATCATAATAACTTGTTATTCTTCAGCCTCAGAGACATTTTCATTGTTGGCCGAACACTAGATATTGCTGTACAAATCAAATAGATAAAAGTCCAAAGCAAGGTATTTACCTGGACTTGTTGGAGTTTTTCTGTCTGCACAAGGTTTCCATTTGGATGCTTGCGGATATGGTTCCTCCCAAAAATTCACATTATCTTGCTTAAGCACCTTCTGAACACTCAAGGAAGAGATCAAATTTTAGGGAAAAATAACTCTTCTAGATTCTGTTTAATTGATGGTTTTTCTATTTGTTTTCTTTGGGGAAAAACACAAGGCAAATAGCAAAAGCAAGAGCCAGTGCTCTATAAAATTTAATATGCTTAATGTACAAGTTAAGAAGCATACCTCTGCAAGAGCAGTAGAAGCCAAATTTAGAAGCCTGCCATACATCTGCACCGTTGGTCTTTCTTCATGCAAAAAGGCAACACTATCCTCCTTAGAATACATGCAAGTGAAGGGCATACCAACTAGTTGGTGTCAATTCAGCATTCATCCCGTAATTTTGAAACAATTTAATAATTGATATCAACTTGTTGTGCATTTTAACTTTCAATGTTTCAAAGTGCAGACAAGCCACCTACTACAGAAAATACAATCGAACAAAACAATAGATACGAAAGTTGGAAGCCTTTCTAGCTGGGACCATAGAGAAATTTGCCATCTGAAATGGAAGTGGATTACTGTCCATTCCAGATCCTAGACAGTACGAACTCATAGGTTCATTGAGACCATAACATTGTTGCTTGAGGAGCTAATTCTAAACCTGGTGATACTCACAAGAACTAATCAATGGAAAACACTTGTTTCTCTGAATTCAAATTAATTGTAGATAACAATCATACCTCACGGCTGGTGGAGTTTGTTCTAATCTGAAGGTTTATTGAACCAACATTTGACACCACCAGAGAATCAAGCAAGAACAGGAAAGCCATCAACACGACCATAAAAGCGATTGACTTCACATTCCTGCGAAACCATGTATGCCTTTTCCCAACATAAACACCCTTGCAAGGAGTAAACTTACCGGAATCAGCTTTCAAACCATGTAGCAATACTACCTTGGAATTCCAGTAATTTTCTCCCCCTAATATTCTCCTCCCAATAGAAGGATCACTGGCCCCAAAAGAATCTGAACTTCTAATATGATAATCTTTCGTCCTGAAACCCGAGTTAGTATTCTTCGACATGGGACGTGGACTTCTTGGTGATCCTTGCTTCCCCATTGTGTCACCACCACGTAACTTCCTCTCAATCAAGCTTCATGGTCTTGTTTTGAGGAGAACCCGAAAACCTGAATTTCCTTGTGTTGGAAATTAATTTTCAGACGACAAGAACAAGAAACTCTTGCAAGGTTGCACCTGCCTCTACTACTATTTCTTTTCCTATCTTTCTCTAACAAAGACCCGCCAACAAATATGACCATATGTCAGCTAAGTTTCAGGTGGTGGTGAAAGAAGAACTAACTAAAAATGAGAAAAAAAAAATAACTGTATAGTTGATAAAATAAGAACGTCAAAGAAGATGGAAGAATTCAAAGAAACGTTAAGAAGTAGGTGATGGTGATTTACAAACGTTGTAAGAGTGAAAGACAAGGCAGATTGGTCGACGAAACTCAACTCAACTCATCAACTGCACTTTTAAAGTATTAGCCTTGTAATACAAGAATCATATCCGTAACAGCTACTTCCCACCAAACATAAAACAAGACAACTCTCTGGTTTTTTCTTTTTCTATTTTTGCTTTCCTTGTTATCATACGTTGAAGATGGAAATGATCGAATGAAAGAGAGCA